ATGTCTGTACATAACACAGGACGTCGTGTCCATACATAACACAGGAACATCGTGTCCATGCAAAACACAGGAACATCGTGTCTATACATAACACAGGAACACCGTGTCCATACATAACACAGGAACATCGTGTCCATACATAACACAGGAGCATAGTGTCAATACATAACACAGGAGCTAAGTGTTCATCGTCGTGTCCATACATAACACATGAACATCGTGTCTATACATAACACATGAACATTGTGTCCATACATAACACAGAAACATACTTTCCATACATAACACAGGAACATCGTGTCCATACATAACACAGGAACACGGTGTCCATACATAACACAAGAACACCGTGTCTATACAAAACAGAGGAACACCATGTCCAAACATAACACATGAACATCGTGTCCATACATAACACAGGAACACCGTGTCCATACATAACAGAGGAACACCGTGTCCATACATAACACAGGAACATTGTGTCCATACATAACACAGAAACATACTGTCTATACATAACACAGGAACACCGTGTCCATACATAACACAGGAACACCGTGTCCATACATAGCACAGGAACACCGTGTCCATACATAACACAGGAGCATAGTGTCAATACATAACACAGGAGCTAAGTGTTCATACTTAACACAGGGACATCGTGTCAATACATAACACAAGAACACCGTGTCCATACATAACACAGGAACATCGTGTCAATGCATAACACATGAATATTGTGTCTATACATAACATAAGAACATTTTGTCCATTAAATAACACAAGAACGTCGTGTCCATACATAACACAGGAGCATCGTGTCAATACATAACACATGAATATTGTGCCTATACATAACATAAGAACATTTTGTCCATTAAATAACACAAGAACGTCGTGTCCATACATAACACAGGATCATTATGTCATGTTTTAATACGGATAAACACAACGTATACAAATAATATTTGAAAACACTATTCAGAATTCATACCGACAATTAAAAGTTTCTTAATTAACGTTGAAATATATATTTGTAGAAGAAAGCTTATCTGCAATCTCATGTATGGCACCAATTTTTGACCTTTGATATTGTGACCTGATACCTACCTTGGCCCTTCTAAGTCAGGTTAAATACTTGACGATCTCGCTTGTAGAACTAGTAGGCACTTTTCATTGTTTCCACTTTATCCAAGATAGTTTTATTAATTCGAACAAAAAAAAAAAAAAAAAAACAAAAACTAAAAAAATGAGATTAAAAAAATGAGGTCGTGTTACTAACAACGCTAAGAATACTAAAATTATAAGTTCAATTAATTGTAATATCCCATTGTTGTTTTTCGTGACTAGCATTTTGCTTCACATGACTCATTTGTCATTTTCACATGGACTTAAAAGCAACCTATAGCAGCAGGGCTTCACGGCTGGGACATACCATGTGATTGGTAACAAGATAATCGCTGCCTGATAAGCAAAAGACTCTACACGTTCTGACAGTGCTCGACATTTGGAGTTAGCTGACGTATCAGGTAATTTCAGTTTTAGAAAAATACGCTTCTATTGGTAAGAGTTTTAACCTGTGCAGATACCGCTTCCAATAGATATAGAGCTTAGAAAATAAGTATAGAGAAAAAGGTTTTGGATTTTAGTGCCGTAAATAAGTCATGGCCATCCTATATTTAATTACTGTACAACTTATTGATTAAGTTATGAAATGTTACTTAAAAGCCATTCCATGTAATATACAAGTCAGAGATAGCTATGCATCTCTTTCATAAATGCTTCATTTGCGCTTAAAAATCTGCTCTTTTGAACGACCCGATATGAAGCACATAAACTATGTACAATGTAGGATATTAAGGAGAATGGGGTTTGAAAATAAGACTATCCTTATAATTTCGTTTTAGAATTTTTTTTTCACTAGAAAGATTGATTCCGAAAGGAAAAGTCGTCAAAATTGTCATTTGGCTTTAATAAAGAATGGTCGGGATGTGGAGTTAATGTGTGACCTTATCTTATTCTTATATTTCGTATAATTTTTTTACTGTTTTTTACACAAGTGCCTACTGTTTCAAGCCTTCGCACGTTGTTTAGGACCTTGTACAATTCCCAGTCCACTGTGCATCGAAACTTTTAACATGCTCTCATCAACATAGAATCCATTTTTGGCTGCCGAGATGGGTTTTCTGAGTGTGTCGCTTCCCACGTGTACCAATACCTTTTCAATTTTAAATTTGTTTACGAGTTTCACTTGAGAAACTAAAACTTTCCAGACAAGATCATGAGAAGGTTCTGACTTATTATGAATTGATTAATTGTTGCAGACAACAAAAATCTTCTCCAGTTCCATTGAACTGAAAATTGGAGCAGATGCTGAAGAGAGGAAGTCAACAAAGTGCTTTCGGCTCTTCTACGTGGCAGCCACGGGGGCCTTAAAGTAAAATGCTTGTGCACTCATTGTCTCCCGAAACAAAAAATGTGTTGACTTCTTCGCCAGTTCTGCTAAAGGAATTTAGCTCAGATTCACCTCAAATGATCACGACATGGTCTTGACCATGTGTTGTCAGTTTCATTGAGCTGAAATGTTTCTTGTGTAAATGTTAAGAAACTGAAATGAAGAAATTCGTGATTTGAGTAATTTTACCAGAAAAATTAAGAAAAATCAAAACCTTTCAATACTACTCACTACTCACGTTACAGCTGTTACATTAATTATTGATCTTTATAAACAGATGATCATAGGTTTCTTGAATCAGTTCAGTAAAGAAGAACAAGCGATAAAATGGTTTTGAGAATAGAAAATTCGTGGAATATCTTTTTGTTTTAATTTAGAATCCTCATAAAATCGCGAATTTCATTTGGTATATATTGTGTGTAGTATCGTGGTGTCGCCACAAATGAGAACATTTCATCATTTGAAGGAAACATCCATTAGTACTTCCGGAGGCTAGAGTGAGTTAAGGTGTTATGGTCAGCTCCACGATATCATAATGTAAAGGAACAAATTCTGACTCATTATGGACTGCTTGAATATTCTTATTGCTAGTCTCAGATAATGTTATACATTTTAACATTTCCAATATATACGAACTACCACACATATATCGGATAAGCTCCATATACCTGAAAATATACCTATATGATAAGTTCACGTAGTCACCTCCTGAGCCGCGATGTTTCGCTAGCATAATCCTTGCATACATGTTTTTCTTGTGTCATTCCCCACTTGCTAAATCAAGGATCGAAAATCACTTGACACCCGAAAGTGTGTCTAATGCTTCATGACATTTTGGTAAGGGATATACATCTTTCTCAGTCACTGTGTTGAAGTTCCTTTGACCAAAATACAGAAACGTAAAGTACTGTTAATTCATCAGAAATTCTAACACATTTCGGAAATTTTTGTATGGAAACAGTTTCTGAAACTCCAATATGGGCACATTTACTTAAAGGTTCAGAATTAAGCTCTACCATGTGGCTTCCCAACTTCAGAGCTTTCACACCAAAATTCAATACTTCAGTATTATTAAATACCTTTGAATCCTTGAAGCGTAACCACTATGGCCTCTTTTGTTAAGATACGATTACCCAACATTAATTACAAAATCTGCTTTCCCCAAAACAACCTAATTTCTCCCAGATACTCTAGTTGGCTGTTCAGCTCAGACTTATACCTTTGGCCTGGTTGTCGTATAAGCCACAATCAATTAAGGTCACTTACGACGCTGAGTCCGCCAAAAATCTGGTATTTGAACCATCAACACCAACACCACTAGCTTCCTTGGTTCAATTTCTGTCTAAATTATGGGTATTCCTTGATTTTGGATTATTCCTATACCTAGAGTTCAACTTTCTGTTCATTTTCTTAAACTGTTCAATTTAAGGGATGCTAAATCAAACTCAGGATCACCATCAGCCGTTTTACTGTACTCGCTAGAAGTAGCCTGCACAAAAACGGGAACTTCAAGGATTTAATTTATTTGGTTTCCTAACTGGAGTCTGACCTGCATGTCTTGCACTGAATGACTCAATTTCAATAACAGCACTTACTGCCTGAACAAGTGTTTTCGCATGAAAAAAATGAACATGCCTACAAAACTCATAGCTGTTTAAACCATCAATAAATTGTTCTACAATATCACCTTCTAGTAAATCAGTAAAATGTTTGTTTAGATAATCTTTCCGAGCAGTCAACCTCAGAACTTCACCATAGACTATCAAACTGCCTCTTCCGTCTTGAATCTGGTACACATTTCAGATTTGTACGCTGCCTCTCTACCAAGAGATTTAAATCCTCAATACTGATTTTAAAGTGTGAAAAGTTTTATTTCAGAGAGTCTTAATTCAGAGAGAACCCATTGTGCAGGTCCCCGTAACCACACGGTGATTCGCTGAGCTTTTCAATTAGATATCTGCTCAAAACGTATTAAAAAGTCTTGTCCCATCGTAAATTGTCGGTCCTTTTTTCACGGAAACTGAACTTGGTTGAGATCTAACCCCAGAAATTTGCAACGAATGTACACCTGACAGAAATATGGTAACTGTACTGGTAACTTTTGTACTTGTAATTTTCCTAGTGTTTGAATACAGCGATGTAGTGCTGACATCGACTGACTGTGTGGGAGACTTTTCTTTCGATCATTTTGGATTTTCCATAGTCGCCTCCTGGGCTTGAAAATATAGGTTCATTGCATCAATGACGAGTTCGAGAGGGACGAAACAGCTGTATGATGCAGTTTTATTTATCGTCTGGCTCTATTGTATCTAACTCTAAATTATCTTAAGATGCTTTTCAAACTCTATATCATTTCAACTCTATATTTCGTAAGTATTACGAGCCAAGGAGCAGCAAATAATTGCCAACCAGTTATTTCACCTGTTTATTGAAATAAGAAAAATGTATTTTCTTTTGTTTCTTTCTTATTTTCCTTTTAACTTTTAAAAAGGTCTTTGAACACTTTTCAAAAGTTTTCTTTCGTTGATTCAGGTGAATAGCAAGTATGCGTGCACTTGTTTTCCTTTTGGGATTGTCCTCGGCTTTAGCGTAAGTACTAACAAAGCATTTTATTACTCTGATCCATAACATTCTACTTTGTCCTTATATAATGTAATCTTCCTGTTGTGGACTTTTGCTGACAGAGCTAAAGCAATAAATCATCTTTTGAAGTAAAATAATTCAAGTCTTACAAGGTTGGCACAGCTCTATGATGCAGTTTTATCAATTCAATGGTTATACCTTATCTTATTCAAATTTTATTTTGAAAGATGCTGTTCACTTGTTTGTCTTTTTTCTCATTGAACACAATGTTTATTAATAAATTGAATAGAACATATGAATGAAATATAAAATATCCCACAGGGCTCTTCAAACCACTACAGATGTAATTGCGGCTGTAGATAAATCGTTCTTGGCTGTGGACACCAACGACGATAGTGTGATGGAGCTTTACGAACTTACGAATAGCTACCTGCATTTAGATGCCAATAGTACGATAACGGAAAGTTATACATCTATGTTTAGAAATAACATGCTTATGGAATAACATATATTTATGGGTTAAAACGTTTTATGTAACTTTGATGGATATTTGTCGTCGTTTAACCATAACTCAATCGGGTTTTAAATGAATCGTGTAATGAAACACCGCAGTTTACTGTCCTTAGTCGTGTATTAACGTTTTTGAAGATGTAGTTTCTTTATACTCAACAGCCGTAGGATAATATTAATTTCCCTAAGCTGGTGTTCTCAAGTGGGCCTGTAAATGACCTCTTAAATCACATGGGCAAGACGTCGTAATTTTCAATCAAACTACGTTTACACTGAAAACAGAGATTAATAAAACTTTACATTGATCCGTGTCATAGACAAAGATATCGTTATCCGAGTGTAAGAGTTTGGCTGTTCAGCGCTCAGCAAGCATGAACAGACCCATGTTTGAAAAAAGGAAAAAGTATTTTTTTTTTGCGAAACCAATCCGTGTACGATTTCCCCCTCTTGGATGGGGCTCTCAACTCACAAATAACTCGGTAAATGATTACTTTTCTTTTACCCTGTAGGACACATAATTTACTAGTTAATATGTGTTGCATCACGCTGCTCACATGATTGAACTGTTAACATGACGTCAGTGAACTGTTATTGTGACGTCACACCATTGTCCAGACAGGGGATCTTTGTCACAGTCCTGTATTGAGATTATGAAATCTCACATCCGTTAAAGGTGTAATATACCTAATGAGAGAAAAATAATGTTTTGCAAAAGAAATGAAAAAAAAAAAAAAAAAAAATTAGATATAATCCAATTTCATGAAAGGAAATTCATTGGAGATCAAATCTTAAGTAACTTTCTAAGATACATATCATTCTCCTATCGTCAACAAATTTGACTAAACGACATCTGGAGAATATTAATGTGTTTCTTCTATTGTTATAAAGTATTGCTTTAAAAGTAACAAGAATTATTCTTTCGTTTGAAAAACACAAGTTTTTTTGTAGTTATCTTTTAAGCAAGTACAATTTTAATGAGGTCACAAGTTTGTTAAAATCACATTTCCCTGATCTACATTCAACATTAGAGAAATCAAGTGATGTTATCCATTTGATACTATTTCATGGATTGGAGAGGATAAGGTCACAATTATTTCTCGATCATCGGGAAATGTATTTGAGCATTATTGAGAATTGTAAGGTAGATTTGTAAGCTATACTTTTTCTTTTATAACGGGTTTTAAAGCTAATTACATGTTGTGTACATTTGAATTGATTTATCAATAGTTGTCCCAAGTAATATCAGTCAAAATTATGTCACTGCTATCTCGAATTCCCGTGGGGAGGCTGTACTAAAAATGATTACATATGACCCAATGGAAATCTATCCTTACGCTGAAATGAATACAGCTTTCCAATGATAATTAAAATCAAATGCACTGAATGCATTTTATAAAAGGTCAAAACATTTTGCGTTAACTTTGATGTTCTGTAAAAATATCAACTTGATTCATATCAGTGGGTAAAGAATTATATCAAAGATATTTTATCGTAAGAAAATGTTGCAACTCTATACACATTATAAGGTATTTCTAAGATATCATAATCTTTGAATGTACCTAATGTATTGTAAAAAAAACCCACTAATTATGCATGAACCACATCTAAAAGCCGAATATATACTGTCGTTTTCAGATGATGGCAAAATAAGCGAGTTTGAGTTCGAGTCACGTTCTACAAACCATACCTACACAAGGGTTGTCTTTCTGGAGCTTGACCATGACCAGGATGGCTATCTTGACATGAGTTCAGTATATGGGCAGTATTCCATAATGGACGCGAACAGTGAGTCATACAATTCGCAAAAATTCGATTGATATGGTAACCTTTATCTAAACATCCTTCTCAAATAATGGTTGTAATAGAAACAACAACAATATACCAACATTTCAACATAATCATAACCCAAACTAAAATTCAATTGAACTAGATTAATGGAAACTACAGGATGTAGAAGACCAGACATTCCAGAAGAATAATTGCTTTTAGTTTCATTATAACTATAGATATATAACGATATATCATACGGCATTTCATAAGTCAGCTATAGTTATCACAAATATGTAAAATGACTTACACTAAACATAGACCGGACTTTTTTGCTTCTTAAAAATAAAAATAAAGAAAAAAATTATCGACATATCAAAGTAATCACGCGTATATTTAGAAAGATTAGATTTTCTAGATTAAATGGCATGCTGACATAGAAATCAAAGATTCATAATGATATTCTGGTACAATTAGATAAAATGAGTATAGATCGATATGATATTTCATGTTAACGCATAACATTTATCGTTTACAGCGGACAATATAGTGAGCCGGGCGGAATTCGATAATTACTATACCACAGTAAGTGACTATACCACAGTAAGAGACAAAGTCTCAAACAAAGCATATATTATGTGAAACATGTGTATAACTATGTGTAACACAAACAGATTTATGTTGTGTTATGAGATACAAGCTATTGTATTAATCAAATATTGGCGAATGAAATGCATGCCAAAAACGAAGTAAGGAATGTTGAAAATTATGAAAGCTACGAATATGTTGACCTTTAAACTGAAGAATCTGTTTTCAGCATGGTGGTCGGTTTTTAGTGGTTATGGCTCTATATGTTACTCTGTTGTTCCAATCTGAAGATGTGATGATCTGAAATATAGAGAATACATAGTCAGTGTCCTTACATATTCTCGGTATTTTGGCAAGGGCGAAGAAATACGAAAGAGGGGAACCTCTGGCGAGGAACCATTTGTCTATCTGTCTCAACCAAAATGCAGCTTACATTTTAAATCACTTACCATGTATATTTTTTCCTACAATATTGATTGAAAATTCTGACGATTGAAACCTCCAACAGTTTGTGGTTCAGCCTTTGTTTAACTAGCCTCAGTGATTGACGTACGCTAAACTGCACGGAAATATAGTTCGAAGCTACAACTGATATAACGTCAATTAGACATTTTTTGTAAATGCACTCGTTTATTACGTATTTGCATATTTAAACAATAATTCATGTTTTCAAATTCATGTAAATAAAAGGAAATAATCACTTCTAAAAATGTTAAAATACGTATGTTCTCCGTCACTGCCTAATACAGAAAATATGTAAGGGCATGCTAATAGCGAGTACTGTTTTCTCTCACAGGTCATTAAAGATGCTGTAGATAACTATGGACATTTGGTTGGACTGGCTCCAATTCAAAAGTGAATGACATTCCTGGTAAGATACTTGAAAAAACATTTTATTTGATAAAAATAATAAATAAAGGAAGAAATCCAAAACGTTTTTTCTTTCCCTGTCTCTCTCCTTCCTCCATCCCTATAACCATCCCCTTATTAGATATAGAAAGTTTTCCTGGTTAAAACTTAAAATAGAAATACTTTGAATCGTTTTATTAGGTAGATTGATTTTGATACCATACTCCGCATAGTATAATATCTTGTTTATTCATTGTTTTTGAAGTTGAGTGAATCGGCGCATACTTATCATGAAACTCATCATTTAGTATTAGGTACTGGCACCATTGACATAGTGACAAATGTATGCTGTTGTACGTTGTTCATACATTTGTGATTCACAGATAGAGCAAGCCAATAATACACCACTCTGATTGGGCTTTATTGATTTGACCTGTCATGATTGAACATTTTATAATCATATTTTCATTTCTTTTTCGTTGAGGTAGACCAAATTTTGCCGCAATTTGAAAAAAAATCAGCTGTCAGCTAATCCCAAATTTAATACATTTTTTTCATTGGAAAAAAGTATTGTTATGATGCTGTTTGAACTGCTAGTAGTGTTTGTTAATTTTGATGCGATATGTAACATTTTTCCCTTTCATTTTGTAACAAGTTTATCCTTTGTAGGTTTGATTTTCGTTTATTTTCTTTTACAGGTAACAATCATATGACCGCTTTTAAAAACTGAAATGTTATATTAAGTACATTAAAATGATTCAGCAATGCAAAACGTGTTTGTGCAATTTATATGTATAAAAAAACTTCATTTGTTGTACAACGTTTACGAAGCGCGCGACGGGTCTTGCTGTGGGAGGAAATCCTGGTACTCGGGGAAAACCCATGTGGTCTGGCAGGTGACCTAATACCTTTCCACATCCTTTCCGGGAAACGAACCCCGAAAAACTTGGTGAAAGGAGAGTGCGTTACCGCTACGTCACCCGACCACCTCTGTGTGTAATTTGATGCTATGGTTGTGTTACAATTTATGGTAATATGAACTATAAAAATACTATGTACCATAGCGAACCTGAATATATGAATATTAATAAAAAGCTGCATTTGGGCAACTATTTGATTGGCATGGGGTATGATAGACGGTTTGCATTAAATTTCATTTAATTTACATTATATAAATCACTCTTGTTGACCCGGATGGAAACGCGGGATGGGTCTTACTGCAAAAGGAATTTTCACTTCCGTTTTCTGAAAATTTCACAGTCCTATTATTCACGAGAAAATAGTTTTAAAAGACATTTTTTACAGAAAAAGATACAAAGGTTTAGTTTTAGTGACATGTAATATTGTTTACCAAAATTTATGGTGAAATCTATACCAGTACTTTTATTCGAAAGAAACAAATCACTCTGTAATTATGTCGTTGATATTTTGTGGCATCACAATGATAGGCTGCAATCAACCGTAGTTTAGTCTTAAAAGTTGATCTTTAACACCTTACTGAGAGTGTCATGTGTTCTGTTTGGAATGAACTGTTTGAAACTTCTCCAGAGTTCAGCATAAAGGCGCAAGTCCTATATACATGATAACAATCGTGATATTTAGACTTTAATTCACCAGAAAGAGTTAAAGTCTTCATGCAATAATGGCATATTTGTCAAATTCCTTTTAAGAGTTGAAAAGACTTTCCATGTAAAACTCTTTAAGAAGGGCAATACATGATTATGCATTATGTGTTTGACTGAAGAAAACATATGTCACTGTACGATAATGGTAAGGTAATGTATTTTTTTATTGGAAAATTTTCATAATTCAATCCCCGATATACTTATGAGTAAATAAGTCGTTGCCATGACAATCATTCTGGTGCTAGCCTAAATATAGCGACAATCTTTTCTGTTGAAGTCTATGATTGACCACGACATTGGGGAAATTTATGATATGATGACATAATAGAATGTGTCACCGATATGTGAGATGAAGAAAGTAATGGTGCTAATAGTGATATACTAAAACTATCATTTGTCCACTGCAAGTGAGTGGTATGGTTATATAAAGTATGATAAAATGTCGTGGAATACACAGTTACAGTAGGTAGCCTAATACTCTCAATCCAAGCATTGATGATTCGAACAAGTATCCTGTCACTTGTCGAAACCTCTCCACGATGTTTTAGAATATATTAACGACAACTTCAACAGATAATCCACACAGGCCAAAACCCAACACATTTTAATTCTTTTCAAATATATGTAATAACCTACATTCTGACCTGAATCTATCGACAACTTGATTTGATGGTGGGCGAAGATTCGTCATCGATGGTTCAAAGAAGCGTTTTGTTGACATTAAAAGAACACACGACAGATAGTCTTGAACAGAAATGATCAGATCTTGGCTTTTGTTGAATTTCATTGGTAATGCGATAATTATATCATATTATTTTTGAATGGAGATGATCTTTGTGTTGAAACCAAAATTCATGATTTTGTCTCCATTATATGCAAAAAAACATGCGTACTATACCTAAATTGAGATTTAAATGCCATTGGTACACTTATACAGCCTTTGTGCAGTCAATTATGTATTACAAGGTCATGAACTGCCATTCTTTTCTGTACTAGTAACGAGATAGATAATAGACATGGTAAATATAAGCACTGTGCTGAGTTAAGTTGGCATTTCTGATTACAAAGAATGTCAACTGGATAAAAAGCAAATTGTCCTTATCAAGTTGACATTCTGATTGGCAATAATTCAAACTGAGAGCAGTTTATTGCTCGAATAAATACAAAAAATTTATATTGGACAGCATCATCTTGCAATCCCTGTCCTATCTGGACTTGAAAATAGGTCAATATTTATTTATATAGACAAGCTTTATGTGGCATCCACAAATACATACAGATATAAGCCTAAATGCGAATATTCGACGACAAGAACATGTGCTACGTGCACGTGAACCTGAGGTTCCCAACCCACATCATAAATACATTAAGCAGAGACGTGATCGAAGATAAGGTTGAGAGGTCTTTATGTATACAGCAGGCCCTGCCGGTAAGTGAAAGCAGCTAATTCAGTACTTGTATTCTGATTGTAAGTTTTTTGTTTTTTTGTTTTTTTTTTTTATTTTATTTTTATATATATATATATATATATATATATATATATATATTGAATTTGTTCCCTTATCTTTTGAATAAAAGATCGAAAGATTTTTACCTTCAAACAAGATTGATATATAACAATTCTAGTTTTTACCAATACATGTGATAACAATGTAATGTAAATGATAATTGGACAACATTAGACTTGCACGAGAAACGAAACATTCATTTTTACGTCAATAGCTATCAGATTGCTTAAATAAGAAAATTTACCGATATAACTTTATCCAAGCGTAAACGGTTTTAGATTTTATAGAGATATTAAAGTAATTTTTTATCTAATCTTAATATTCAGCTTAACGAAATGTCGGCTTTCCTGTTGCTAGTAGGCCTCACAGCCATTTCGTGGTAAGTTGACAAGTATTCAAAGGTATTGTATACGCACATACAAATAAACATTTACGACAGTTAAAAAAAAAAAAATAAAAAACAAAAAAAAAAGTTTTCAAAACATCTTTATAACACGATGTACATGATAAATCATATCAATCAAATATTGAACTTATATGACCATTTTCGGTTCTCTACCGAATATGTGATCGTTACATATTAGCATACAGTTATGTTTCTTAACATGTATTTATATCAATGGTACCTAGTCAAACTCTACATCAGACGATAGAATATTATGTGGATGTGGGATTCGAGAGGCTTGATGCGGATCATGATGGAAGACTAACACTGACGGAGTATTCCTTGTCATTTCGGAATGATGATGTCAATAGTGAGTGTAAATTATGTTTATGTAGTTTCTACCTTTTGATTTAAATATTTTCTCTCTCGCAATAATATCTATATATATATTGCACAACAAAAATCTTACTTACACCCCACAACTTTCATATTCATGTTTGATACAAGATGTAAAGAGTAAGTTTGCTTCTATAATGATAAGCGTAGTTAGCAATACATGGGGGATGGTCACTGTTTGTAAATTTAATGATCGTAAGCATGATATATCGTTCTCTTCTCTCGTACATAGAGGACGGCATTTTGACGCTGCAAGAATTCAAGGACACTTCGTCCGCTGGTCCATATGCAGACGCTATTTTCAATACCTTTGACTATGACAAAGAAGGCAAAATAGATCTTTCTGTTGTATATGGGGTATACGAGATCATGGACACCAGCGGTAAGCAATGCTACTTGATTTTCTTAAAAAAAAATGATATAACAGTTTCCCCCCCAAAAACTGTTTTACAAAACATATGTGTACAAAACTAATTTGTTTATATTTTTTTGTTCTAAAGTTTAAAGGGTAGAAATGATATCAGAATGTTTATTTGTTTGTATTTGTTTTCTATATTTCACGATAAATCTAACACAAGGATATATTTATTCAGAAATTTAGCAAAAAGTGCAAATTGAAATAATATAAACTTGTTTTTAGATTTATTTTCGCATAAGACGTGGTTCGTGGTTAGTTTTAGAGTTTACTTAGCTAGGTTCAACTTTCGATCACTTCATTGGTCAGACGTATTCATATATAAATATAAACTTTATTTATTTTACAACAATTGCGAAACAAGTTATATCAACTTATACTAATCACTCTTGTTGGCCCGGATGTAAGCGCGCGAGGGGTCTTATTGCGGGAGGAAACCGGAGTACCCGGGGAAAACCCACGTGGTCGGGACGTATTCATTAAAACGTTATAATGATAAAGTGGTTTTCATGCATCAAGGAATTTTCCATTACTTAATGACGTATCACATGGATTGTACAAAGGATAAATTTTCATGTTCTTATGTACGCACAGCTAACAGGGTACTAGATCTTTCGGCTTTATAATTTATTGCTGTATTTGAAAAAAAAATCTAAACATATCAATTGTTTTCCTATATTTTGAATTATGCAATTAATTTTAGTAACTGATTTATAAATAATTTGATATATAAATTATATACTATGTAATTCTCTTTCAGCTGACAATGAAGTTTCAAGACGGGAATTTGAAACCTACTACACAAAGGTATATTAGTGTATGTTTACCGCAGTAACGCAGGTATACAATTTTATTCATACGATAGGTAAAATTGCTTACTGTAACCTTATTGTACGTGTTTATTTCTTTCATTGTTCGCTGCCTATTTTGTAGTTTGACAGTCTCTATGATACACATATATTTTCAGTTGATAGAGCAAATTGTACAAGCGTCGCAAACCTCTGCTTCACCAATATGACATCTATGAAATATCAACATAAACTTAGGTAGGTTTACCACCATGTTTAAAGGTATCTGTGAATCATGGCTGTTTTCTAAGTATCTATGTGCATATATACGAAGAGTGTACATACTGATTGAATAAATGCATTGTGTAATTGATTAAAGAATTAATTTGGCATGTATTTGATGTATGGATAACGTATACCTTGTACATTTTCTAAATGTGTAGCTTCATCAGTAAGTGGACTACTGTGTCGTGACATAATTTTGTTTATTGAAAATGTACTCAGTGTTAATTACTGTGTCGTGTAAGCAGTATGTGATCACAGTGTCGTGCAATTATTGTATTTATGAAAATGTCGTGTTCTTAATGTGTGAATTACTGTGTCGTGTAAGCAGTATGTTGATCACAGTGTCGTGCAATTATTGTATTTTTGAAAATGTCGTGTTCTTAATGTGTGAATTACTGTGTCGTGTAAGCAGTATGTTGATCACAGTGTCGTGCAATTATTGTATTTTTGAAAATGTCGTGTTCTTAATGTGTGAATTACTGTGTCGTGTAAGCAGTATGTTGATCACAGTGTCGTGCAATTATTGTATTTTTGAAAATGTCGTGTTCTCAGTCTGTGAATTACTGTGTCGTGTAAACAGTATGTTGATCTCAGTGTCATACAATTATTGTATAATTATGAAAATGTCGTGTTCTCAGTGCGTGAATTACTGTGTCGTGTTAGCAGTATGTGTAGTAATGTATCATGTATACCTGTCTAATGATTCTAGATATGTCGTTTATCAGATGTACAGTTTTGTGGTGTCATGTAAAAAGGGTGTAATGTGTCTTTTACTCGATGTGCGAATCCAAACGTCTTGAATTCATGTTAGGAAACATGCCGTGTATTCAGTCTATACATAAATCGATCTAATGCAAAATGTATACATCGCATGGAAATAATATGTATGGTTTGTTGGATGCATGAATAAATATCATTAAATAATATACACTTATGTTGTTGATCATCATCAGTCAATATTAATGATTAACATATACTTTATGTAGTTTCCCCCCAATCCTCTTTATTTACCTTGTATTTAGATGTGCTGTGTGAAATTGATTTAAATAAACATAATTTTAAATAGATGTATTGTGGATCCTTTGGTAATCAGAGAATACAATGTTTCTGATATATAATGAAGAAGATATATATAACATGTTAATGGGCGTTGATCTTAAATGATTATTGAGTTAATTGATAATGTATACTAATTAACGGAATATCAATCGTCTAAAAACGAAATATTGTCACTTTTCTTTTACAGATTTTCTCACCATTTAGCCGATGGATTCTCCACAACGCTTACATATATTAATAAAATATGTTCAGAATCTGATATTATGTTTTTATTATACATAGGTACAAATATTATCATATATTTCGCGTCTGTCAGAGCATATAAGTAGCCTTGGTGACGTATTTGTTATGGTGAAGGTATACATATTACCTGGTGTTTTCCAGCCACTTTTGTCAGCGATCGCACCATCAAATCAATACACTTTACTTAATAGATATATATGTAATGAAACTAAGGCACGAAGACGACAATATGAGTGATACACGTCCGCCTATAGCTGCACGATTTGTCACAGACAGCGTCATAAAAGTATACTTATGTGTAAAGTTAGGTTTGTTTAGAGAAATCTATTGCAGAATAAGATCGTATAGTCTTCATTTTTGGATGCTGTTATTTGTGCTGCTCACGATCTATCACGAACAGGCTAACGGCAAGAAGTGATATGATACTGACCCGATATGATAACCCAAATTGCTGTCATTGACTTGTGTGAATAAGTGATGTGAACAACCTACCCTGGAGAATATTCATTGCTGATTGTCATCCCGGGAGCTTCATTCATTATTTAATGATACTTCCGGGTTTTCGCAGTTTTAAAGTGCAACTTTGAATACATTCAAATTATGGAAAGATGAATATGTGCTATTCTAACACAATGATTTATCACTGTAATTAACAACTACAAACAATGCACATTTAAACTTAAATTCAACTTTCATTATACTTGAACAAGCAACAATATCAGCGTTGTGCACATATACAAATGAAATAATAAAACTTTAAAAAGGAACTATGTTGGTAGGTTTATTGTTCAGAAATCAGACAAACAGTAGTGTAGAACAAACCACATCTACGATCAAATATTTCATTTAATACTGTTAGCACACAAATAGATATCTTATTGGTCACTCTACTGGGATATAGCAAATATTGAATGCATAGTCTCCAGACAAGCCTTCATCAAAATACGAAAATCAGTATGAAGGCGATTAACAGACACACTGTTGTGTATAAGTAGGTGTTGGGAGTCTCCTTCCAAGAATATGGACCTGTCGGTCGAGTCTTCATTGGATGCCAAGTTCGATCCCATTGTTTCAGTATAGCTTCCCGAGCTCCATTCCATTTACATGGACCTTCTAATCGGAACTGATAAGGAGTACAGGGACCGAAGAAACATTGGAGCGCCAGGCTCGGGTCAGACCTAGCGATACGGCCTACAAAAACGATACAAAAGAATAACCGAATATTATTGCAATTATTGATAATTAAACCGTTTTAAAGTGTTCCATACGTATTCATTAGTACCAAAGATTTCCTGGAAGAGACAAAACACGAGTTTAAAAAAAGAAAAAAAAAAAAGCAATTATAGCATTTATATATAATTTCACAATAATGTTGCTGATTCTCAAAGCGCATAGAAAAGACATGTGCGTAATGCGCTAGCCTTTCTACTCGATTCTCCAATATTTGAATACAAATCTTTCTTGCTTAAGAGGATGGAGACGATAACTGAAAGATCGAAATCTGTATATTAGTTTCTCATAAAGATATTTCCGTAATGAATGATGCAATCTGCCAGCTTGGGAAACTCTTATATATATGATAAAACATGTTCTTGCTGAAAGAAAAATATAATTTGACCATATTGTTGTCTATATATCTGGTGCTGTAAGGCAATGGATGTCACCCTGAAAACCGTAATCCGGTGACATTGGTTTATCTTGATCTTATCCCTGACCTTGAAGACTTGGAGTTTAAGTAAAATTTTCACAACTTACATAAATTCGGCTTTGATCCATGAAGCTCTGCAAGCTCATCCATATATGGCACACAATCTACCTTCATTGTGTACCGATTTGATTGGACAAATCGCTTATTCATGACGTCTCGTTTCCTATTGATGTCATTCCACATTTCACTTCTAGAGGGCAGTTGGATATCCCCCTGAAAATGTGGTAAGTGTGTGTCACTGCAAAGTAAAACGAAATGTCCGCAAGATGAAAAAGTGATCAATTCTAGTAAACACAAATATCTATAACACGAAGCATGCATAACAGTAAAGAAATGTATAACGAGAAATGTATAACGAGATGAATATCTATGATATTATTACCTTCAAAGGATTAAACATTACAAAGGTATTGACAGATCCATATCACATAAACCTCCGTTTTGTAAAAATAATTTCCGCGATTAATAACTAGTATCATATTACATCACGATGGTATTAAAAAAATATATGCAGATTTTAAGCACTTTTCTGCAAAGTGATATATACCAAACATTAGCAGGAGTTACCAAAACGGCACCAAACGATAGAAGAATAACCTGAAATATCCTCAACAGCATATAAATATAAAAAAGACATCAAAGAGTTCTTGTGAGAACTACCTGGGATATATTCAATATATGAAATAGTGGAACTGAAAGAAGGGAGATAACTGTGGCTCATTAATATTACAAGGGGGAGAAGCAGGCTTTCGATGAAGATATTAACTACAGGTTACATGTAGTCATAAAGTATTGATTTTTCAAACGGGAAAACCAATGAGAAAAGTAATATTCAATTTGGAGCCGTTAAAAACTAATCATCAACCACTTACATCCAACAGAAATTGGACGATAGGGATAATGTATTTTCAAAAATATTCATTATCACCGTGTTAAATTTGTATAGTCAAAACGTTAGTGATAAGAATAAATCTTTTAGGTTAAGGTTTAACAGTGAAACAGAAACTGAAAAAAAAGAAATAGCGCACCTTAAACACTCTAGCAGAGAGTCGACATTGGAGCTCAGAAATAGGAAACACTGCTCCAATCTGCTGCATAATGCCGACCACGGCCAATGTGTTGTGTTTCAGATTTGTCGGGAACAGGTGTTTGTAGAGATCAACTCGATTGTCCTTGACTTCAACCAGAGACTTGTCGAGAAAAGGGAAGTTGTACTTGTATCCAGTTGCCAGAACGATGGTGTCTATATCATTTTCTGTTGTTCCATCTTCGAATTCCACCCCATTTTTAAGGAAACGACTGATATTTGGCTTAACAATGATAGAACCGCTAGCGATTCGATTGGGAAGGTCGTCGTTTATCGTTGGGTGCTGAGAGAAGTAGCCGTGCTCGGGTTTCAGGGAATAAACCTTGTGGTCGAATTGTTGGTTACTCTGCTGTATCATTATCCACTCCAGTATACCTGTTGGAATATATTTTTTAATAGCCAACATGCACCTTCTGTAGCTGTTCATATCATTTGGAACACCATTGCTCGCTATCCTCTTGGATACCCAGCACCCACGCCTGGTACTCAGATACACCTATGGGTATAAATGAAAAACAAGAATGAGCTTTTATGATACTAAGTACATTTTGCCATGACGTACTGTCAAATGTTTTTAACATAAACTTTAACTTCTCAAACACGAACTTGAGTCAAACCAAATGAACTATTCAGCATATTGGCAACTATTTAGAGAAGCTGTGAAAACTATTAACATTTAGGATTCCTCGGATATTTATGTTATTGTTTATCACTGGGTGACTCATTATAACATATACATGTGGTCTGACATATGATAAACTATTCAGCGAGAAAAAACACCTCATTGATTTCAACCTCAATGTACAAATGTCACCCTTCCAGTTTATTGGTTCTGTATATTATACGGTATATCAAACATTCTTATATCACGCAAACGGCCCTGAATCTGTCAGTATACCTTTTTGGATGATCGACTCAGATCTACGGCAGTGTCTACTCCAGAGTTTCCCACACCAACTACAATCACTTTTTGGTTGTCGTATCCGCGAGAGTCTCTGTAATCATGAGAATGCATTATTCGACCATCAAAATTTTCCATGTCAGGAAATTCGGGAGTGTATTTGTATGTATGTTGACCAGTGCACACCATTACAGCGTCGTAAGTCATGGTGGATTCTTCACCAGTTTGTATATCCTTGACAGTAAGATCCCATCGGCCAGTGGTCTCAAAATCTTTCGCCATCACAACAGACTCGACCTAGTACAGACAATTGCACTCTTTGAGAATGTTTCAATGAAATAATAAAGACATGACAATTAAAATTTGACGATCTTAAGACCTCACCTAAAGGAAAAAAAAAAACAGAAAGAAGAACAAAAGTCGACACCCCCTTCCCTGGAATATATATATATATATATATGTGTGTGTGTGTATATTAAGATAGAAAACCCAAACAACCAAACGAACAATACACAAAATATTAGCAAAGAAACTCCTTGTTTGATTTCGATTCAAATTTCGTTTCCATTTCCCGTTATTTTTCTCAGCTAAATTCTAAACAATTTAGATTTTAGATTTAGAATTAATTTCTTATGGCATAGATATACCTGGGTTTGCAATCGGATGTATTTAGCGAGGTCGAACTGTTTCGCGTATAAGTGGAGGTACTTCAGTACGTATGAATGATGCATGAACATAGCGTAGTCCTTGGGTACAGGGAAGTCGCTGTAACTGAGCATCTCTTTACTTGTGTTGATCACAGTGGAACGCATAACACACGGTTGATCTTCCAGAACCTCACTTGTGTAATTCCAAAGACCACCTGCAGGTAAATATGCAACAGAAAAGTTATGTTGTATGCAATAGTAAGATGAAAGGAAAAGTAACGTCACAGAAGCATTTGTATGATACGGTCTATTTCCATAGCAATCACAATTTTCATTCGTTTGGTGTTTTATGTTATTTAGCATAGTAGGTAGTTTTAAACATATCAAAACATAAACGTAAATTTATAAACCAAGTCTTAAAGATGGAAAATGAATTCTCATTAAAGATAGTCTTCAAATGAAGGATCCTTAAATAGCTTGGACTTCTGATGAATAAGGAATTATATGTAAGCTCAATATAATTTATATAAAAATGAAGACACAAACGCGTATTTGCATCAGACCTCATTGAATTTTTTTTCCCATTGGGAATATATATTACCTTAAGAAGCATCTTTCTTTAGCAATATCAGATTACTAGGTTTGTTTTACCGGGAAGTATTTTTGCATACAAGTCTTTGTTGGAAGTAATTCACATACCGAGTTGGTTGGATTTTTCGAAACATATAGGTTGCATTCCTTCTTCTAAACATGACTTAATGGCTGGTAGTCCACTAGCACCCGCACCTATAATGGCCACCTTCTTCATTCTGAAACATACAAAAATATAATCAATAAATAATGATACATCTCCAGAGTCAATGTTATTAATGGAAGTTAAATATAGGGTAATAATTTATCTGAGTTGCGTCTGTTGTGAACAAACGTAAACTGGTTTTTTTGTAACGCCCTTAATTGTTGATCATTTTTTGCGAGGAGTGAAATGTAATGAAATTCTTTATAAATACTCTTGTGTCTAATGAAGTCTTTACTTGGCATTATCTTAGTTCAGTTGTGTAAGCTTTTAGTTTGTACTATGATTATGTTGACATATTGGTAGTTTCTTGTTTTTCGTGGTAATGGTGCTTTGATAGTACAATATATAATAGAAAGAATGTTTTACATGTCAAATTGATAATTTTAAAAATACAATAACATTTATCGAAAAGGAAGGATATATGATCGGCTTCAGTAAAACGAAAGATTGCTCCCGACTGATAACTTACGAAGTGTTTATATACACTTAAAAACAATCCTGTCTAGCCATTTAGGACACACAAGTATTGCATAAGTATTGGTGAACATGACGCAGAAATTTAAGCTGGCACGAATATAATAAAACAAGCAAACTTGTATGTGTTTTAACAAACATTTTACAGTAATTTCGTATAGGTAATAACAAAACAGGAAAATAGCTCATTGTGAATAATGACTGTGCATGGCTTTTGTTAAGTTGTATGCCAAGTGTGCGTTGGTGTGTATAAAGTAATATTTCATAATTATGTAAATAACGACCACTCCTATTCAAACGTTGATATCGTACACCCAAGCCACCATTGTTCAGTCAACAAAATGTTCATCATCAATTGCTTTTCCGCTGATTTATTCCAAACAAAGAATTGAATTACACCATAGAAGAGAACGGACAAATCCTTTAAATATGGCCAATTCGAATCGCCCACTTTAAAGGATCTTTTCCTATGATAATAGGATCATAAGATTTATAGGAACGGCAATCCGAAACTGGCGATTCTGTCTTTGTCGCGATCGATATCCAGCTGAACATTCCTTTTTACATAAAATACAACTCGGACATGTAACGATTCATTTAGTGTTATCTATAATTCATAATCGAAAGATAGTTACAAGGCATTGAAAGAAAACAAAGAAACAATCAAATGTGTCTATTACGGCTGACTGTGTAATAGACGTTTGTGTTTGCCTTTGCAGTTTTAATAATAACATATTTACGCCTAAACTTATAATGACAAATAAATAAGCAAGAAAAACTTCTCATACAGTAAAAGAATTCACAAGGGAAAAATGAAATGATTGTGAATAGTGATTATGTACCACTTTTATGAGTTGAATGCCAAGTACATCGGTGTTAACAAATCAGCGTTGCTTGTTGAATATTTCATATATCCATCGCATTTTTCGTTTTTGTTCAAGATGTATATATATACACACATATGATCAAAAACAAAGATACAAAACGACATACAAAACAAAAAAGACATTTTCTAATACAAATAAGCGAGAAAATCACATAATATATATAGTTTACCATTATAAAAAAGGAACAATTTGTCTAATTAACACTATGTACATAAATATGATGTTATTAGAATATATATATTGTAAGTATTCAGAAGTGAGAATTACCTACCTGATACCGATCGTAAAATGCCAGACACAGGGATGATACGCCACACAATATAGCTTGCCGGCAAGCGAATGAATGGGGAATAATTACAGAACAACAGCCGTTTTTCAGGCGTGATCGTCTTGTGTCGATACCAATGTCCAAGTCAGTGGAGCGAGATGCGGTTATATTCGACGTTTCGATACAAGGTCACGTCACCCTGTGTGAGGTGATGAGTAATTCTCTGTATCATCAGTGTTCTACAAAGCTGTCTGTTTTCGTTATCAACTGCTATCAAACGACATAAATAATGATTATACAATGTTCTTTGATGTACATCACTTTCCGTTCTTCGGCACTGAATTTTGCAAATTAGGCCAAGCTATTTTTAAACTCTAATAATGGGAAATTACCCAAAAGCAGAGCAGGTCATATAGTCTCTCACCCATGCGTTGACCTCGTGGTCTGTACTTTGCGGTGTAGTTTTAAACCAGTGTATTGAATTACCTGTAGGGATTATTGAATAAGAACAATAGATGATCCAACCAAATAAACATTAATGGAAACTTACACGTATGGCTAAAATCCTATCTATTTATTTCAAACCGACATTAACTGTAAGGGAAACATGAATGAAGCGCATTTACGCTGATGATATTACAAACACACGCACACAACCTCCCCCTCCTTTACCCCCCCCCCCTTACACACACACACAAACACACACAATTACATGTGTGTATATCTGTATATCACAATTTCAAACCATATAATAAAAATAAAATCAACCAAAGTGTCTGTTTTAAATTACATTATGATATACTCATATGGAAGAAATATATGTTTATTACAACATATGTCAGAAATTCATCAAGATACCCAATACTTTTTATATCTTTACATTAATAACTTACAGACATTCTCATTAGCTTAAATCTTGTCTTGTCTTTCTAGAACTGGATTTACATTTTTGGAATTAATTGTTTTTGGGTCGGCTTCTTAACGATTTATAATAACTAGCGAAACATTAGCAGTAGTAAAATTAGAAACTGTACGAGCATTAAATCCTTCGCCCTTGATTTTATCTAGTTAAATAACTATAAGTATTCATATTCCGGGTTTGAGCAAAGACTGATTCAGTATAATTCCACTCATGCATGCCTTCCGTTGGTTAAATGACCAGGACTATTGCATGATGTACCTTGTATGCCTGCATGCCAAGGTCAGTCGGAGTGTTATTTACTTGAATAGGGCACCTTTCCATGTTATATGACATTGGCATACAATATCCCAAAAATGCGGTCTCTTCATCTTAAACCGACGCGATGTCACGCTTTACAAGCATGCACACCGTAGTCACACATTGCACTATGAATTGAAATGGGTTACCCGTGACGTATATATGTATTATATAATATATATATATATATGTAATCGACATCGTTATCGTTGTCATCGTCACACTACATTGTAAAATAGCCAATTATAATCTTATGAATCTTGATGTTTACTTTCTGTTTTATTGCCGATGTCGTACTGTTAAATATCGTTTAATTTCTTTGTTTATTTCTCGATCCTCCACCAGGAATGTAATTTCATCATAGCAGATTTGAATATTAAACAATTATATAACAGTTGTAAAATCTGATATCCCAACATGACGTGAAGTCACTTTCTTAATTTGTTAAGTTAATTAATCTGAAACACCAAGAAAGCAGTGCGACTTTATCACGTTTATAGCACAAGTAGAAATTTTATCAAAGTACACCTGACATATATCAAAATGTGCTATGATAAGTGTTGTTGACCTTCACTAGGGTACAGCGTCAAGGCTTGGGGCAAATACCACACTGACGACTTAAAATAATTGGTTTTTTTAATTGCATCAGTGAACTTATTCTTTCTATGTGGGATGATTTCCTAATGAAATATACATATTTGAAAACAATTAAAGAAAGTGGTACATATATAATTTGTGAATAAGTAACAATTATACAAGTTATGATGAGAGATGTTGTACATGTGTACACTTCATTACATGTTGATAACCAACAGTCCTGCTTTGTCACCTTTCCGAAATAACCTATGGATGAACATAGCAGCACTGCATCTGATTATCTGTGTCCATAGCTTCTCCAATACAAAAGTTTAATATCACATGCTTACATTATAAAGAATCATGCTGGGGCTTTCGACATATTACCAACAATATCTATATCCGCCCCCTTTTCCGCCCTAAAAAAATATGAAAAACAATTAAAATATAGTATAAAATATATATATCCAGTACAACTTCAGAAATCAACTAGCAACATATTTTGATATGATATTATTATCATCAAGATACCCGTACCTTCCCCGTACGAGAAATATTTATTTTGGAGATTGTCGTGCTCCTTTATTTAATAATATAATGATCAGTTAAAGTGAATTATTCGCTCAGGTAATTTGCAGTGTGAATACTTGTATGGAGTTGTTTTAAATCATGCCATAAATATACCGGAATAACAAAATGAAAATGTTATAGCCTATCTAGTTTCAATGTAGTTTTGGTTTATGAAGTAAGTTCTACCACATAAAGCTACCTGCATAGATACGATTAAAAAGTGGTCTGATCTGATTGAGAAGATGTACATTGATAAAACACTCTCGGCATGGACTCCTGTGGAAATTTCTGTTGAAATCTTCTTTTCAACATGTTAATGAATTATTCAAATCGTAGAAGCCTGTAAAATTACCATTGCGACCAATGATGATTAATCTTCTTGAATGAATAAACACTGGATTAACAAAATAAAATACAAAAAAACAAAAAGCAAAATATACCTAAAACAAAACAAACAGGCAATAAAAATACAACCTGAACTAACCTATCTTTATCAATATTCTTCACTCTTGAATCACCGATAGTAAGTAATCATTGTCCCATTTCCACGAGTCTGTTGCTTCGAAATGACTGATAATCTCAAACCTCAGTTGAAGTTCAATAAATGTTGTCATGTATTATTAAAAAAATCATTTCTTTTTTTCCCCAAGTGTTCACAAAGTTACAATTCATTGAAGTCGAAATATTTAGGCCACTTAAGAAGGCCATTAATATATATACAAAACCATTCACAGTCTTCAATTAAGAATTTGAAACAATAATCCCAGAACGAGGATGTGCATTTTTATTCTTTTAAAGGGATTCGCGAACAGTTTTAAATACACCGTTCTCTATATAAACTGTATCCGCACAGTGGTCGTCTCTCCAATTATTTTTTAAGAGCTATGAAACAACATAGCGATAAGAATCCAGGCCAGAGACTTTATACCATTATACACCTTCATGCCAAAATGGACGTAGGAGACCAGATTTCCTGTCATTTAATATGTAATCTTTCATATTGAGTTGAATATACCCGAACTATTTTTTTATTTAATAAGAAGAATGCATTCACATGATAGATTCGGGCGTAACTATTTTATTCCATTAAATCGTCCCCATTTTAACAAGGGTAATACGTGTATTGACGACAACAACAGTAATTGTTGGTATCAGAATTGACGAGAGATGCATAAAGTTTGAAAGCAGGCTTTGGAATATATTTAATGGTTTATTTTATTCCATGTGTTGTAAAATGTATATTATGATCAATGAATGTCGACAGTTCGTCTTAACAATACTTTGTGAACAATAAACCTACTTGTCTGATATTTTCATGGATTATGTATTACATATAAATAAATCATTTATCTCCAAACACTGCAAAATGAATGTTCGAGTCTTTAAGTCTTGACACCAGTTGTGCTGATCAGACAGAAAATGTCAGGACCGGTTATCACGTCGACTCTAACATACAAGTAGTACGCTTACATTTATTATATTTACATGACAATATTTCGATAGAATTTACACAATGAAAATAGTTCTTGAAGATACGATAAATACTAAAGAAAACATGACCGTAGAAAACGTCATCAATTTGGCCATACAACGACGGCTCACCGTCAAATGAGCTATATAGTAATGACAACTATTGACGTTATAAATGAGAGAGACTTGCAGGAAAACAGGTTATAAAATGTTTCTCTTCAAAGTTTATAAACATCATAAACGTCATATTATGACGGTAAGATGCCTAATTAGCCAACACAATGCTTATTGTGTGTTTGATCTGGAATCAACGGAAACAACATATATGACATCATAATGATAAAGTACAACAAAGACTTTTTTTTTGTATTTCTTTTATTTTTGAAAAGTTTCATAATTTTTACAGATGTTAAAATCTACATGTGCAACACACTTTCCCATGCATCATCATCATCATCATCATCATCATCATCATCATCATCATCATCATCATCATCATCATCATCATCATCAACAAAGACTTAAATAGATAAGGAACAATTGTTGAATATCACTTGAAAGTCTTAAAATACAGAAAATGTTGACCGGATAATTTGAAATTATTTTTCGAACAATAACCAAATCAACATGATGTACAGTATCATGAATGAATAAGAGAACAGTGCAAAGCCAACCTGAGATGGATTTGGCACAAATCCGAGAGGTCTTGTTTTTAATGGATATAACGTTCGTTCTTTTACAGTCAAAATAGCATCTCTGGCTCCTTCCCATTTTCCCGGTCCATGGAGTCGGAACTGGTAAGGAGTGCATGGCCCTACCAAACAATTCCATGCCAATTTTGGATCTTTTATAGATAAGTACACTGCAAAACAGAAAAATAGTTGTACTTGACAGATATATATTTATATGAGATATCCATGGATAATGATAATATTTGGTGTAAACTGCCATAACCGAGACACAAATCATACCACACATTATCAATGGTTTGAGTAAAAAATTAGAGCCGTTAACATGACATTAAAGAAACAAAGGCAAATCCTTTAGTTTGTCAACATTGTCTGCAATGTGCTATCTGGCTGTTGCACTCTCCATCTCTAGGATATTCGTACGCGTAAACCCAACAAACAATTATCATCAGATGTTTGATAATTCACCTTACTGTACCAAAACACCCAGAACCATAGATTCAAGTGTTGTTTTACATGACCGAAACAGACAATGATTTCGACAAAACTATGATACATTTAGACATATTATGATATTCATATATGACTGGTAGGGTCGCTTGAAAGGTCTCTGTCACGGATGAACACCATTTTGGTTAACACCAGAATTGCTGAATGGCGGCCATTTTGGATCTCGCCAATGAAAATTTGCTATCAATGTTTTTAAAGAGGAACAAGATCAAACCTTCTCAAATATTTTGTGTAATTTCGCTCTGGTCCCTTGTTATACTTGTTTGATTATGAGATCAATCAGAAAAAATCAAAATGACCGAAAGGTGTGAGCTCTAGTCATGTCTTTGACCTACTATGGGCTTGATTTTTGTGTTTTCTTTGTCGATGGCGACGTGAAGTATTAAACGACGATCATATGCGTTAAGGCATTGGTTATACACTTTGTCGCAATGCATCACGTGTTTCATATGACGTAGATAATAAGGCTACAGCAAATAATAGGAATACTCGTTAATCGTCATTACAATAAATTAAATACCGGTGTCATTAGCTTTGCAGCTAGATTCCTCTGTAAAAATGTATGTGTTGGGAATGGTTGACGATATGGTAACAACGTTTCAGTGTTATTCATCGCAAAATTCATACATTGCTTTGTACTTAAATTTGTGTATTCAACAAATGATATCAGTAACAGAAGTGTTAGAAAATTAATTTAAAAAACTTCAGTCTGTTCTTCTAAAAACAATAATAACCAGCATTATTTTTGTAGTTTGCCAGAACCTAGATATGATTACTGAGAAAGATTCTTGTACGACTTGAGAAATAGCTCTAACTTTCATTATTTAATCAAATGGGTATAACTAGGGACCAAGGGTGACCTGGATATGATACTTTAGAAAGATGGAGGTAGGACGATTTGAATAGCCCATTATGTAATGATTTAGGGCTTACAAGCGTTCAAAATCGCTACCTAGGGGAGGCTTTTATGCTATCTTGCCTCTTTGAAGAAAAGATGTATTCCTTTGAAAATTTACCATTGTTCAAAAGGCTTGAACACCGGAAGTAAAAATGAACAATTAAATAAATACAATGAAAGTGTGATTACGTACGTAAGTTGGGTTTACAGCCGACAAGTGTTGCCAGCTCGTCCATATACGGGATCCAATCTACTTGTATTGTGTGACGTAAAGACTTCACATAGATTTTACTCATGTCATCTCGCTTCCGCCTGATGTCATCCCTCATCGCTTTACTGGACGATAATTGGACATGACCCTGAAAAAATAAACAGCCATCTAAACCAAATCGTATTTCTCGAAACAAATACATTGGTTTTACTTTTATTTTGCCAGTTCCTGTCAATTCTTTACTTACAATATTGACACACATGCTTGTTAAAGAAATATGTAAACCTGTTTCGGTATATGGACATACTGACCTTGAATATTCTTGTTGCGAGGCGACACTGTAACTCTGACACTGGCATCAAAGCTCCCAGAGGTTGCACACATCCTATGACACATAAAGTCTTCTTCTTCAGATTAGGTGGGAACATATATTTATACAGTTCTACATTGTTTTGTCGGACATTCAGCACAGACGTGTTCATGAATGGAAATCCTATTACATATCCAGTGGCTAGAACAATTAAATCAATGTTATCTGCAAATGTTTCGTCGGTGAACCCTACCCCAGTCGCCGTAAAACGTTTTACATCCGTCTTGATGATAATGGATCCGCTGGCTATACGATTTGGGAGATCATCATTGACCGTGGGATGTTGGCCGAAGAATGAATGTTTTGGCTTTAATCCGTAAGCGGCATGATCAAATCTTGAGTTCAAACGATAACGTGCTATTGGCGCCTTGATCCACAAGGGGCATAGGTTATTTGCCCAGACAACCAGCCGCGAGTGAGTAAAGTCTATGGGCAGTCCATTGGTCCCAACACGATTGAGAACCCATGCCCCTCGTCTTGTGCTGAGATATACCTACCATTTAGAAATTAATATTGATCAGGTATCAGTACAATAAGTGCATGTTGCTATAAAACAATGATTACTGAAGACATAAATACCGTTAATTTTCAAAAGTGAGTGCTTTTAATATTACATCCATCCCATATTTGCTTTTATTTTGAAAAGGGAGGGGAGGGGAAGGTATGGCAAGAAATACACAAAGCTTTGAGCAAGGAAGATTTATTTCAGAGAAGTCATGAAAATTGAACTATTTATTCCACTCCTGAATCTATGGTAAAAGTGTCTACGTATTACGCATTTGTCTCAATTTCATTACTTCCTCGAACAACGTGAAATAGCAACATTGACATCGTCATTACTACCTTTCCGGCAGGAAACTGTTTGATCAGACGAACATCTAAAGTAGTAAAGCAATTAAATACACCACTTGTAATTGATTAAAACTTCTACAGATGAAAACTATTTATTTCGATGTAAATATCAAAATTTGTCTTCATATAACTTTATTTACAGCCCTCCATACCCAGCAACATGTACCTGTGATGCTACACGGCTGAGTTCCACGGCGACGTCACCACCAGAATTGCCGATGCCCACCACCACGACACGTTTATTTTCGTAATGGAGGGGAGATTTGTAGTCACGAGAATGCATGACCTCGCCTTTAAAGTCAGAAATCCCATTGAAGTCCGGGACATGAGGGGCTGCGTGATGACCTGTGCAAATTAGCACTGCGTCATAAACCATCTTGGTCGTTTTGCCAGTCTTCCTGTCCAGGACAGTAATCACCCAACAGCCGGAATCCTCGAAATCATCAGCTTGGTTCAGGTGAATGACCTTATAGTATCAATATATTAATATATGATAAATAAATGGCAGACATATATCTCACCAGTACCGTATTTATTTTTACAATTAATTTATCAAATCATACCAATTAAGTTTGATAATCCAAGGCAATGATACTTAATAAAACTTTATTTACATTTTTGGACCAATCTTTGTACCACTGCAACATGATACTGCTTTCTCTTTGGCTACTTTGATATCACCAAACGGATGATTAATCTTATTGTACGTTATTGATGTATGATACCTCTGTGTTGAATCTGATGTGTCGATGCAACTGGTGTGCATCAGCATACATCTTCAGATATTTTTGTACGTATGTGTTGTGCATGAAGACAGGGAACTCTTTTGGTACAGGGAAATCACTAAAACACATGGTTTCCTTAGAAGTGTTAATGACCGTTGATTGCATCACACTTCCCTGGTCCTCCCGAACTTCACTCTGGTAGTTCCAAAGACCTCCTTTGGTGAAAAGAGCACACAGTATTACATTGTCATTTGTGAATTAATCTGACACGTTCACGCAGGCACTCTTGATAGGAGAAAGGGAGATAATCCTTATTTGTTTCATATCATCTTTGCTCCCCAAGTAAATTTCAATATGAGTTTACTTATACGTAGAAAAAGGCCTTTATGACAAGGCGGGAATTCATTATCCTGACGCTAATTATTGCATTGGCTATTCTGATCATACTGTTTCAGCAAACAAAATGAAATAATAATTGAAATTAATTCAAAAGTTTTTACATTGACAAAAGACAGAACTACTTTACAACTTTTATTACAATATTATGACATCCTTAACGTCCCGCCAAGGTCATTAGGGCCATCAACCGGTAACCCTTACAACTAAAACATTTGAAGATCATGTTCCATTTGTGGCTAGCATATGACTAACGAGAACAATTATAATTGTTTTTATTGAACAAAAGCCACACGGAAAAACTTAACAATAACGAGGAGTTATAACAGGAACGAAAACAAACATTTCCTTGTCTTACCTATGTCGTTTGTCCTCTCGAAACACGTAGGCACAAATCGTTCGTCCTGACAACATTTGATGGCTGTAAGTCCGCTAGCCCCAGCTCCAATTATTGCAACTCGCATCATTTATGTTTAACGAAGAACAAACAATGTCTTAGGTAGATCCACAAAATGGCGCAAATCACATGTTCTTTTCACGTTTTTAATACATTTTGTACGTATACCTGTTTATCTACCTCTCATTTAACATCATGTATCGATCATCCACAACGGATGAGATGAAACTTTGAACCATTGTAATCATATTGTCCAGCGAGCACTTATCATTCCTACTCGGTGTCCATCCGCTTCAGTATGTGTACAAGTCTAATGCGATATACTGATAATGTCTAAACAAAGAAACCTTATCGAATATTGCTCTATTTTTAGCACATTTATAAGAGGTTTTACTAACAATATATGGATGGAGAAGTGTTTGATACACAGTGTTGGTCACAATATTCTAAGATAGCATTAATCTATTTAAAGGTAAAAAAACGATACCTACTAGAAGGCTTGTTTACGAAAGATAGGCCGATGATCATCTATCTTGACTGTCAGCCCATACATATTTGCATAGAACTACTAGCTGAATCAGACATATCCAAAAGATCTAAATTTTCAGTCTTATTTCTTCTTTTTAAATACACGATTGAAGAGACAGGGCTTAATCCACCATCTCACCTCCCGGGTCAAGATCTGAAGAAATACTATTGGTTGGATAATTTCCTTATGCCTGCTTTAACTTTCCGTGGTTCTAATTTGATAAACAACGTTACACAAATATATCAGTAATATTGTTCAAACGAAAGAGATAATTGTATCAGTGATAACTGCAGAACAGCGATATAGATAGGAATGCTATTAATTTATATCACTAGAAACATTAGCAGAGAATTATGAGGAACATATTGACGCTGAAAAAAACAGGAAATCGTGTAATCACATTATACCGATACAGCTTGCGAGGACTTCGTAGACCTGAAATAAGACTAGCAGAGATGTGATTGTTTATTGTGAATATTAAATAGTGTCAGTTTCCTGCTTTTATCGGTGTGTGGTGATTCAATGAGAACTTTAAACGTGATTAAAATCGGTACTGTATGCGAGTTCTGATCATACATGATTTACGTACAGTTTCCGTTAGAGGAGACATTCTTCTTTGGGTACACACATCAAACAAGGTATAGGTTTATCATTCATTCTTATTGATATCGTCATCTTTGAATCATTAGAGATGAATATTGAAATCAGCGCATTTATATATATATATATATAGAGAGAGAGAGAGAGAGAGAGAGAGAGAGAGAGAGAGAGAGAGAGAGAGAGAGAGAGAGAGAGAGAGAGAGAGAGAGAGAGAGAGAGAGAGAGAGAGAGAGGGAGACAGAGAGAGAGAGAGAGAGGGGAGAGAGAGAGAGAGAGAGAGAGAGGGGGAGAGAGAGAGAGAGAGAGAGAGAGAGAGAGAGAGAGAGAGAGAGAGAGAGAGAGAGACAGAGAGAGAGAGAGAGAGGGGGAAGAGAGAGAGAGGGGGGAGAGAGAGGGGGGGGGAGAGAGAGAGAGGGGAGAGAGAGAGAGAGAGAGAGAGAGAGAGAGAGAGAGAGAGAGAGAGAGAGAGATGTATAAAATATACATTGAGGACACATTTGAAGTTAAAGTTTTTTAATACACACAAGCCTTGAACTTAGTGGTATCTTGTACTTTAAAGACTATAACTATCGAAAAAAATATCTTTCACATCATGTTCACATATATTCTATTCTAATCAAATTAGTCAATGTTTTAGGATTGGAAAAAAAAACTCAGTATATGACCATGAGAATATAAACATGTATGACACGTTGCAATTTCTTTATTTCTTCATTCAACTTACAAAAATGCTTCCAATATCGTACATTTTGTTTTGTTAAATATCTTAATGAAGTAAATAGATTCGAACATTAATTAGGCATTTCAGACATCAAAATAATTTCAGCTGACTACCATATTTCCAATGGGGTTGTTCACTGTCATCTGGCTTTTACGGAAAATTTCTGATAATTTAATATGAGATTGTCACTGATCTTTTGTATATGACCTTTTGATCAATTGTACTTATCATCAACGACGTCGTCTATTCAATCCCTATCATACGTATTAATAAGGCGACAATTTACAACAAAAAATGGATTCATAGGACTGCTTATCTATCCGTTCCTATGTCTTATATCAAACAGCAGTAGGTTAAAAATTCCTGAAGTCCTGAAATAGGACTGCTGGAAAAGCTATGGGTTGTTCCTGTAAAACTTCATTAGGGTGAAGTGAAAACAGTCTTCAACACATATTTAACCTGGTAGCATGGCCCTTTGTAATCCGTGGGTTCAGCTAGTAATTCTATGAGGTATGCTTAAAATATGGCAAGAAATAATCTCCGTATTTGAACTTTTGCAATTGTCACTTAAATAACCAGTTTTTCCCCAGATCAAGAAACAAATTGAAATATTTGTTTGCTGGTCCTAAAATCAGGGAAAGTGGTCCACAAAGTAGACATCAACGAATCTGAAATTTGTGATTTGTGGTGGTATTTTGTGAAAAATTCAGTTCAAATATACCAAAGACTTTTATACTCCAGAGAATTACCTTACCAACCAGAAAACAATGAAATTGTTGATATTTATCAAACGTGTAATGCAGTCAACTACGCCGGCAAAACGGATAGTTCACAACCGAAATTTCTTGAAAACGTCACATAAATCGCCCTTTTTAAGTTAATAAGTGCACCTACTTTTTAAGTTTATAAGTACAGCTATCAACAATAAAGTGTATAGGTACACAAAAGTCCAAGATATTATGTTGGAATTCAATTAATATCGAATATTTTCTTACATCCGGTGAAACGTCAAGGAAGTATATCTATAAGAAAATAGCACCTTTCAATGCAACGTTTAGAGTTAGTTACAGTACCATACAGCTGTTTCGTCCTTCTAGCACTCAAAACTGATGCCAAGGGCCTGAATGGTGAAATTATCTGAGGAAAATCCAAAATGGACGAATTATCAGAAAACAAGATAAGGTCACTAGCTCATCAAATTGAATTAATATCATCGTTTTCAATATTGAATGATTTCCAAACACGTTTAGTAAAGTACATGCGTATATTCTTAACCGTGTCAATATCGGAATAATTTTTTTAAAAATGTAAAAAATATATTGAATAAACAAGTTTGTGGTATCACGTGATACTAGTAAAATATATGTGATGTGAATTACAATTAAATGGGTTCTTGTGTTGTCTTAAAATCTATCATAAAAATCATAAAAGTCATAAACATCACATCAATAAAGTCATGAACACGGCATACACCCAGCAAAAACTTCACTTTATGTTCATGTAGAAGTCGTGAAGGTATAGACAATATAATTAGAGGGTGCCGTAATTTTGATCAAACACTAGTTTAGTTTTTGTTCGAATTCTTAAATAAAAAAGAAAACATCAGCATACATTATATATCAGCAGTAACATGCTCTCTGATAAAAATGACTTTCTAGCAGGTCATGTATCTCATTGCTATACATACAACATCAAAAAGTATGAGAAAAGAATAGAACAGATTACACAGAAAACGTATATGTTTCATTCATAATATATAAACCTGATTAGTATAGAAACTTATTGTTTTGCTGTGGTAAACAAAACATCTTAAACATATGGTCTCTGTACATCAAAGACTGCAAAAACATACACAAAAGTTGTCTACCAAAACAGGTTATATATGATGGCAAGCAGTAGTACCACGACGAACAACAACACGTAGAAGTTGCCTCCTCCTGACGACTTGGGTTCTATGCCTAACGGTCTCGTTTTGAGCGAGTTCATTGTGCGATCCATTTGTGTGAAGATTGCATCTCTTGCACCGCCCCATTTGCCGGGTCCCTCGAGTCTGAACTGGTAAGGAGTACACGGTCCGAAAATACATTTCATCGCCAGCTGTCTGTCCTTCAGCAACAACATAGCTGGAGTAACAAAAACAATATTACGTGAAAAAATAATAAATTACGCAAAATGTGATATGAAGTAGTTGTGTTGTATTTTGACCTAAACTGGAGAAGGTTTATAGCGAGTCAGCATTGTGGGTGGTGTTCAATATATACATAAGAAATAGATGAATTGTGTTAAGCAATACAATCAATACATATTTTTATCAGAACACCTTAACATATTAAAATTCAGTTCATAAACAATACGAATGTCAACGGTGGTGCTTAGTTTATATCAATATTATATAGATGGTGTTTGTTTTCTATTTTGCGAACACGTACGTAGTTTAACACTTAAATGTGTTGAATGTTCCATCGTCTAAGGTGTCAGAGCATCACTTTTATCTCACAGCGTAATTAAGAATTCAATACTAAAGTGACATTTAACCTCACACCATCGCCAGCATTCTGTTTCTTTTTCATACGATGTAACATTTTATTTCCATCGCCTGACTTGGTAAAAATGACTAAGTGGAAGTAATTTGAAAGTTCTATCACAAACCAAGATTTGGTTTACAGCCATTAAGTGTAGCCAGTTCGTCCATGAACGGGACCCAGTCTACTTGAATTGTGTGACGAATTGATTTTACATAGACTTTTCGCATCCTCTCCTCCTTCCGCCTGATGTCGGTCCACATCTCTTCTGCAGGCGGCAATGTGACGTCACCCTTAGAAACGGACCAATCAAAATACGATTCCATATAATGAAATTGATTACAAATTAACAGTCTCCCGTCCGGTTAGAAATTTATCATTGCACACATTCTTAAACACCACATTTCGCCATTTAATATAGAGCATCAGCCATAACCTGATTATAAAACTATTATGTCTCGCACTGAACTTTGACAGAGTTTATATACCACGTGATATTGCAAAAATAACAAGTTATCTATTTAAAAAAAAAAAAAAAAAAAAAGTTTTACCTTGAACACTCTTGTAGCAAGCCGACACTGAAGTTCCGAGATGGGCATAAGGGCACCAATAGGCTGTACACACCCAATGATACAAATTGTCGGTTTTTTAAGGTTAGGTGGGAACATGTATTTGTACAACTCAATGCGGTTATCCTGTACATCAATGACGGATTTATCAATAAAAGGAAATCCGAATTTGTAGCCAGTCGCGAGAATCACCGCATCGACATCGTCTTCTTTTGTTCCATCTGTGAATTCAGCACCAGTTTCTGTGAAACACTTGATGTCGGTCTTGACTTTAAGAGATCCGCTGGCTATACGATTTGGAAGGGCGTCGTTAACCATTGGATGTTGTGAAAAGAACGAATGCTTGGGTTGTAAAGAGTAGGCTGCATGATCGAATCTCCGATTCAATTGCGATCGAGCTAATGATTCCATTATACTAGCAGGGAAGACATTTTTGCTAAGGAAAACTAGGAACCTGGAAAATGTCATGTCAATGGGGACTCCATTGGGGCCTATACGGTTCAGCACCCAGCTACCACGTCTAGTACTGAGAAGTACCTATAAACACATAAGTAAGAGTCAAGATTGCATTAGTCCCTGGGAAGGACCGTTCCATTTCCATAAAAGGGTATAATTCCTCAACTCAATCATTTGATAAAGAGAAATTCAAAATTCTTAAATGTAGTGTTGAGAGTAAGGCTCAAAATACCTGTTAGTGAAAACTAATTTAGATCTAGATTTTGACGTTGTTAATTTTGGCGATTCATCGTTCATTTTTTTCTTCAGTATATATGAGTATGTCCTCATTGGATACCGTTTCAGAACAAAAACAATACTGTCATTGAAAAGGATACGTAAACGCAATTTCAATGTATTAAGACATTCTACTAACTTTCTTATATCGTCTGAAGTTCATTGATTTCAGATAAATATAGTAAGAATAATTCTGACTTCTGTACCTTTCACATGACATCAAAACTACATTCAGTGTATACCAATTTATTCAAACCTCGTTACTATCTCACTTTACAAATACGCCTTCTTCGTTGAAATTTTTATAGTGTAGATGTATTCCTGTTTTGTAGGATATATATGCATTAACGTTTAGTCACTGTACAGTTAATTCAATCCTACTATCATATTAAGTGTTATTGATTTTTTTCAATTGCTTTAGTGCAATACGTATTTGAATTATTTTATTCTATAAATGATCCAAATTTATATTATTCAAATTAAGATGACACGATTTGAAATAAAAACATTACTAGAATTTAAAAACTTACTTGAGATGCCACGTGACTGAGTTCCACAGCAACGTCGCCGCCAGAGTTACCGATTCCAATGACAATAACCTTTTTTTCAGTATATTCGTTCTGGGTTTTGTAATCGTGTGAGTGAATGACTTTGCCTTTAAATTTTGAAATCCCCGGAAACTCTGGTTTATTAGGACTAGCATGATGGCCAGTACAAACCAGCACCGCATCAAACGTCTTCGTGACCGTATTATTTGTCTTATTGTTGCGGGTACAGATTACCCATCGTCCATTGGTGTCGAAATCCTTAGCAGGTTTTACAGATAAAACCTTTAAAGAAATAAATATAAACTTTATTTATCTTACAACAATTGCGAAACAAGCTATCAACTTATATAAATCATTCTTGAGGTCTTACTGTAGCAGGAAACCGGAATAATCTGAGAAAGCTCACGTGGTCGGGCAGGTGACCCCATACCGTTTCACGGGAATCGAACCCCGTACATCACCGTTACCATTGCGCCACCCGACCACACAAGAAATACGATTGTTGTCTTAATTATTATCGTGGCACGTGAGTGCCATATATTGATATTCAATGGATGTAATCATAATCTAATTCTTATACAGATTAACTGGTCTGTATTGTAAAGATGTAGAGATAAGATGAATAACGGCATGTAACTTGAACCAATTGATCATGAAAATGTATTGTACGATAATTCTCCATAAAACACAACGTAATCAACTTAATAATTCTTACATTTTTCTATTTCCATATTTAACGTTGTTATTTAATGTAAATCAAGTTACTGCTTTCTTCCATCTTTTTCGTGTGAGCATGTTTTATATTTTGAATATTTCGTATTTTTTTCTTGTAAAACTGTCAATTCATTCCATCCCAATGTAATTACTGATAAGCAATATGACCCTCTTTTAGGAATGAATTTGAAAAATAAAAGCGCAGCAAATTTCTGTCTTTCAAACAAGGGAATGTCTATATATGAAAGGATGAGCATTATGGATTACAGCAACAATTACAGTTTCTCGTCTTAAAACATTAACGACATCAACCTGACAACGTAATGTAATGTAATATTAAACGAAATTTGAAAATACCCACAGGTAAAGCCAAAACAAACCAATACGCCTTACCTCAGTATTAAACTGTATGTATTTGTCGAGTTGGAAGTTGGCTGTGTACATTTCGAAGTAGCGTTTGACGTACTTGTTGTGCATGTATATGGGAAATTCTTCAGGGATGGGGAAGTCGCTGTAGCACATCATCTCCTTGCTGGTGTTTATTACTGTCGACTTCATCACGCATGCCTGATCATCCCTCACATCATCCGTGTAATTCCATAAGCCTCCTGTACAGTTACAATAGGCATTTCACGTTTATAATTCAAAAACTCACCAATATGTTGGTTATTAGGTTGAAAAGAAGCGTTTAAAAATATATCAGGACAAAATATATTGTACATACCTATGCTGTCTGTTCTCTCGAAACACGTGGGTACAAGGCCCTCGTCTAGACAGCATTTGATAGCGGTAAGGCCGCTAGCCCCAGCTCCAATAACTGCCACTTCTCTCATTTTCTGCAGTTCTAGGCTGTGTAGAAAGAAGTTAAAATGATTTCCAATGGTCCACTATACAATGTGGCTATCTACTGTAGAATACACATGTATACATCCTTAATATATTCAACATATAAGATTGATGAAAGAAGCTTGATGGTCTACTATTTGAAAATGGTATATTATTCATATGTATGTCTTCATTGAAAACATGATAATATTTACGTGTTTATGGAGTTGACTCTAATATTCATGGAGTGTTTAATTGATATAGTGTGCCCCATAAACACTCCGGCATGTCCAGCTACACCCGACGTAGTTCAAGAAATTCTCAGAGCGCATCTCCATAATGTTCGAGATTGACGGATGCCTACTTCTAATACTAATAATGACTCTTTTCTGTAAAACTTCCTCCTTGTCAAAAATAATATATTATTGTCTTCTCCCAGTTTCCCTTTCCTGTTACCAGCCGTGACAGTCCGAAGAAATCTGACTAACTACCCACCTAATATTTCAATAGTCAACGCGGCATGCGATATCGCCGTTTCGGTTCGACAACTGTTGAAATAATTTTCATTATTTTAATAGAGGCATCAACACAGGTTGTTGGACATTAACATAATATTTCCATGTACATATTACTATATCGTGATGGTACACTTTAGGTATGTAGTAATATGCAAGTTCATAACCTGGTATGCGTATGCATGTCACTGCGCATATGTGTTGTTAACAACCGATGTTTACTTCCTGGTCCGAAGATGTATATGAGAAGGAACGCAACTTCGCACACATATCTAGCCTCCTTATTTTGTTGCTAAGCACCGTTTTCAAAGTTTTTGTACACAAAAAAAACTTTGATCGAGCAAAAATAAAGCTTTTTAAAATGTTAAAAGACAATTTATTCCACAAAATTGAAAAATGCCATTTTACCGCCATTGTCCTTTCATTTCATCGATGGAAAATAAAATTAACTAAAAATGTATATCAATCTTATTTTAGGTAATTATATGGTATCGTCTAGACATTGGTTCCTGTATTCTCGAACCGTACCACTTGAACTATTGAAATCGTATCCAAATAATTTTGGTTGCTGTAACATGTTACGCTTCCAGAAAGAATGAAAACATTCTCTTCTTTGAGACAACAGGACCAAACAATGAAAACGTTAAGCTTACCTTGTAGAAAAGGTGCACACATCAACACAGATATCCTCAATTTTCACACCCGTTGTTTTATTTCTATGTTTTTGTCATCCAAATTTACTTGCTGTTCAAACGATGGTTTTATCAAAACGTGTACTTCTGGGTCACTCTAAGCTAACCCATGCTTCTGTGTGATTTGGTGATTTCATCAGAAAATGAAGTGCAGTCACATGTCCTATACACATGACGATCATATCAGGTGACAGATTAGAACTCTTAACTGCGATTTTTTGTTTTATTTAGAAAAATACTAGTCTTTTACTGGTCACTTTTTAAATGAACCTTATAGTATGAACACATTTCAAGGCATATATATTTTTGTTTGGTGGCATTTCATTGATACAGTGTAGCTATCGAAAATGATTGTTAATGGTCCGAAACTAATACCCCAAGGATATCTTTGCTAACAAAACTTATTGGCCAGTAGCCTTTGATAATGACTGCTACTTACCAAAGAAAATGTAGTCCGAAACTTATACCCCAAGGATATCCATGCTAAAAATAACTTATTGACCCGTATTCTTTGATAATGACTGCTACTTCCTAAAGTAAATGTGGTCCGAAACTAATACCCCCAAGGATATCCATGCTAAAAATAACTTATTGACCAGGGGCCGGTAACTAGAAAAATGGACTGAAGATAGGATTTAAGTGAGCTTTAAGATTAAACAAAGGGCATGGTAAGTGGGTAACTACAAGCCTCCTTATCACACCCTTAAACCTATCGTAGGGCTCTCTTAAACTGTTCTCAGGTAAACACAATACTTAGCTACGAATCGTTGAATCCGGACTCTCCGTCTTCGTTTCTTTGACTACTAAATTTTTTAAATCATGGAAACGTTTGACTCAGGTACTCAGTATACCCAAGTGGCTATTTGATACCGACTTACTTTCGTTTTAACTTGGTAAACAAAACCACGTGTAAGAACATGGCAGAGGCGGACCAAAAAACAACCAGCAAGCGGCCTAGAAAGCCCAACTTTTCACCAACAGAATTAGAGATCCTCGTGGACGAAGTGAGTAAAAATAGAAACTTGATAATGGGAAAGTTCAGCGATACTGTGACAAATGAAAAGAAGAAGAGAATTTGGACACTTATCGCAGCAAAGATAAATGCTGCATCTCAAGCTTCAAGAAGTATGGAGGACGTCAAAAAGAAATGGCAAGACTAATCTAGCGTTGTAAAGGGGAAAGCGTCAAAATTTGACAGGGAAAGAAAAAGGACAGGTAACAACGAAATGACAGAACTGGGTCTGACGCCTTTAGAAGAAAAAGTGCTTTCTGTACTTGGGGTAACAGCAGTAGACGGCATCAACACTGAAATGGCAGACACATTTGAACTAGAAAGGTCAGTAGACGCAGATATGCAGAGTGTAGAGTCCATAGAAATACAAAGTAGTAATGAATCTTCTGACAATGATCAAACTTACCTTAAACAATTTTGGGATAGATCAACCAATGCAATATCAGTCCCGTCTAATTGTTGTCCCCCTACACCAAACATTGGTCATAGTGAAACCCCAAAGACTGGACATAGTGAAACCCCAAAGACTGGACATAGTGAAACCTCAAAGACTGGACATAGTGAAACATCAAACGCTGGACATAGTGTCCCATCAATTGCATCAAACGTTGTGCCATGTGGAAGTAAAAAAAGAAAAGTAGCTCGCGATTTGACCGAGGATGAATCGTCCAAGATATATGCTTTGGAAAAGGAAAAAATTACTGTTGAAAAAGAAAGATTAGAAATAGAAAAGGAAAGACTTCAGGTTGAAAAATCTAGACAGCAATGTGAAGAGCAGATTCTTCATATCTTGCAACGATATCTTGGTTCAAAGGATGGGAATGCTCAGCCGTTCCAACCAGATGATGCAGATGCTCCATTCAGTTTAACTTGTCTTTAATAAGTAAGTAAACAGAAGATAAATACACATTTACCTACGTTATAAACACTGTAGTGATAATAATAAACTTCATTATATTTTGCAAAAATGATGAAACAAGTTATCAAACTTATAATAATCATTCTTTTGGCCTGTATATTAGCGATTGATGGGTTTGTGTGGGAGGAAACCGGAGTACCCACAGGAAACCCACGTGGTCGGGCTTTGTAGTGATAATAGTACACGAAGTCGGTGAATTTTTAGCCAACCATCATCACAAATGGTAGGCTACCGTCCGTCGTCTGGCGTCCGTCGACGTCCATACATAATTCTTGTTATCGCTATATCTCAAGAAGTACTGGATACATCTTTCGTATAATTAAACCTTTAGTCATATTGAATTTTAAGAGTAATTCAGTCTTTACTTTAATGTATATATCCGGCAATAAGCCCATAAATGATAATAAGCCAATTCATGTCATTTCATAGATTTCTTACTCATTGTCCTATACAAACTATATCCCTGCAATAAGTCCCCCTCCGTCACCCCCGGACTATTGATCAAATATTGAACTTCGCCACCCCCCTCCCGGGATTATTGCTGGATAAATACAGTAATACTAGACCTACAAATAATGTTGTATAATATTTTTCATCGCAGGTTGAGCGCCAAATGTGGGAGAAAAATGTACGGTGAGAACCTGGAGGATCATTGGTTCAACAGAAAGCCTATGCGGAAAGAAAAAGATCTGACACTCTTCCTGGATGATGACTATAGTCTGTGTACTACACGTGTGGTGACTCCAACATCGATTTTGTCATCTCCGGCATCAGTAAATTCAATTTATGGAAGCAGTATATCTTTAGATTATCATGATATACAAGTTTCATCTAGATGCACTTTGACATTTGAAGAATTTCATCTTAAAATCACGTTTCTGTTATCGCAAGTTTCATTTGAACCAAGACAGCTTTCCGATGACGTTTTGTTTTTGTAATTTACATTGGATCAGCGACTATTCTGAGATTTGTTTTATTGGATATAATTCTTCCTGTAAATCGATGCATAAAGCAATGCCAAATACTCACAAATTCAGACTCAATTTTGTTTTAGTATTTTTCTGTTTATTACATTTTTGACATGTAAAACTAGTTCCAGAGATAATTATAAGGAGTTTTCTTCCACAGCAACAAGTTTTATTTAATTTTAATTATTTGAAGCAGTAATTGTTATTTCTGTTAAAGTGTTATTAAAATGTTTTGTTGAAATTTACACTCGTAGTCATCAGTCTTTGTTGTTTTTGACAGTTCAGAATATCAGTTATGCATAACTATTGTCCAAAGGTTGTTGCTATTACGTTTTCTCTAGCTTGGATGCCCGACTGTGAATCCGGCTGGTACTGATCTTGTATATCTTCCTCTGGGTCGTCATTTTCATCAGAGACATCCTCGCAAGGCAGTTGTTTCTTCATGCAAATATTGTGCAATAATGCTGTCGACATTATCACCCTAGTTGATCTCTCAGGGGACAAAGTAAGCCCTTTGAAAAGGCATCGAAATCTCATTTTCCAGATTCCAAATGTTCTCTCAATCACGCAGCGAGTGGCCCGATGTGCGACGTTATACCTTCTGTCCGCAGGTGACGCTGGTGCCAATTTTGGGGTCAAAAGCCACGGTCTAAGACCATAGCCACTGTCTCCGAGGAGATAACCATTATGAATTTGGCCGGTCTCAAAGGCATTACACACGCCAGAATTATTCCAAATGTGAGAATCGTGTGTACAGCCGGGCCATTTCGCAACGACATTTAAGAATTGGTAGTTTGCATCGCAGATCCCTTGTATATTCAAAGCGTGAAAACCTTTTCTGCACACGTATAGATGCTCTTCCACGGACGGAGTATGTATGGGAATTAAACTGCCGTCCACGGCTCCTAGAACATTTGGGAATCCTCGAATCCTGAAGAAATCTTGTTTTACTTTAACTTGTTCCTGATCAGTCAAGGGAAACTTTATATATGTTCTAGCATGACGTGAAAGAATCAGTGACACATCCCTTACAGCGCGAGATACCGCCATCTTGCTCACCCCATGTGCATCCCCAATGACGGACATGTAGCTTCCACTGGCGTAATATCGCAAAGCAACCATAGTCTGCAGGGAAACCGGAAGAGCTCTGCTTCTCCTCGTTATTCTTGAAATGTCGTTTTGGAGTAAGTTACAAATTTCAAATATAGACTCCCTATCAAGGCGATAATCGTTCACGATCGCTTGGTCACTTAGAAAATCCAATGAATTTTGGCGATCCCCGAATAACCTCCTTGGAACATCTCGGTTTTCTTGAAAAAGCATCAATATCAAAGCCATGGTGGCACAATATCTTTACTGGATTGTGCACTAAGAGTGGTTTAGGGGCGGTCAGGGGCATCCTTAGTCTAAGTGAAAGTTTCAAGTTTAAGGTGGGGATGTAGTTACGCCCTTAAACCTCTAAGTGAGGTATAAGAGTACTTTAAGGATACCTTAGAGTTTAAGAGGGTTTCTGGTTATCCTAACTACGGAAGGGAGTGGTAAGGGCGAGCTAAGGACAGATGTACAGTTAGACTTAAAAATTACCGTTATGCTTGTTTAAGTATGCTTTCAGTTACACCCTTAGTACTTAAGGGAGCTTTAAGTTGCCCTTAGGTCATAAGGGAGCTTCTAGTTACTGGCCCAAGTATCCTTTGATACTGACTGCTGCTTACCAAAGTAAATGTAAACGAGCAGGTCATGGGGGCCTCATTGTTATTTTGAAAATTTATAATCTAATTGGTCTCCTGCATTATTTTTTATTAAATTGGGTGATAAGCTTACAGAAAAAAAACGATGTAAAACTTAACCGAGACATTAAAATAAACTCCAGTGATTGTTGATATTCACATACCGTGAATTATGTTTTGAGTATAGCTTAACCGCTATGTGCAAATTTCGTTCATATCTTATTATTCATTTCCTATACATATGAAATCCTTTGTCTCGAGTTATCAAATGTACTTTGATCAGAAAACAATATAGCTATTTACTATACGTTAACAGCTGTCCGTCTTCCTAACACTTTGATACATGTACATTGATGCCAAGTTTACCTGTACGGCGATGAGACTGAAATTATGTGCCATTTTCACCTAAAAATGGCGCAACTAATCTTTAATCAAAGTTATATCAATGTTTTGGAAGGTTACTATTTTTGATAAGTCAAAATAACCATTTTGTTAAAAACTTTGTAAGACTATGAATTACGTTTCAGCTAAAAAAATGTCTAATTTTCATCTCATTTTTTTTTGTTATACAAATTTAACGTAGAAATGTTAAGTTTACTTATCAGAAGTATACATTTTGGAATTGTTATCTACAAAATGGTACATTTGGGAATGCACTCACATCAGCTAAGATATTATAAGATAAATCTTACATAAATCATAATCTTAACTGTAATTAAGGACTTGAGCAAGTCTGCGTCTTATCTGTCGGGCGTATACTGTATGTGAGAAAACAAGTTCTAAGCTGAATGTAACGCAGTACGATACACGAAGACTTCTTTGCACTTGAAAATATACTATACAGTTTCTAGATTATTCGTGTTTCAATAAAACTGTGATTTATGAATTGGTCAATGGTGGGTCAGCAGTTGGCCTATATTTATAACCATGTAGCCTACAATACATTTGATACCAAGTAGGTCTTTCCCAATATGACCATATAACCGCCATGTTACCGTGCTCACCTGTCTGTTAAGAAATGACTGCAGGCTTGTCAAACTTGGCTTGAGACTGGTGGTCAAACCGCATCAGGCATTGTGTTGTTCAGGACAAGGTGTTTGGACTTTGTAACACGAGCCGTGTTGTTTACAAATGATTAAAGGGAGATAACTACGATTTTATATCTGTCCTGTCAATCTCTCCCTGAATGCAGACATTATCAGAAAATGACCGATTTTCATGTGAACTTGGCCGACAAGAGTACGGTCTGGTTTTGTAGCTATTATTATATTTCTTACTCGAAGGACGTCATGTCTTGACGTATTTTTTTTCTTATCAAACAGACCTATGAATATAACTTTCAAATAACTAATACAAAGAGTGGATGGCCATTTCACCTTCTGATGGTCATTTCCGGTAAGTTTTTATTTTTATGTCACTTAGTCAACATATTCATCATGCCATGCTTTAATTAGAAACATTTTTGCAAATGTTAAAAAACATAAAGTGGTGGGTGGTGCTGACAGGTGGGGGATAAGGTAGTACTTTTTAGGCTAAACATACTCAGTACGCATAAGCCTATTGCGACGGCCTTTCAGACAAAATTTACCGATCCTGGCCTTCTCATTGGCTGAAATATCGAAAAGAGTTAGAGCCATCTAGCGGCAATTTTCTGCGTAAATAATGCCGCGATTTTTCAAATCGCTATTTCAAAAGAATCCAAAAATAGTTTATTTTTTAATAACAATACGATTACTATATATTTAAAAAAAGAACCACAGTGTGGTTGAACTATTGATAAATTTTGAACAATATATTTCACGGAATTCTCGACATGACGTAAGCGTACAGAACACTGTACGTGCGAGTTGGCGCCATGATAAGAAGCTAGTCTGGGGGCTTGGTTTGAATCATCAACTAACAGCACTTATAAACAAACAAAACTTACAAACAGAACATCAATTTTGCTTTAATCCTTATCATTGTGGCAAGATCGTCTTAATATATAACATCACTTGACCTCATTAGACGTCACAAAATTGGACTGTTCGTCCTACGCGCACCCCGCCGATATGACACTTTTTCAGGATTTTCACACCCACCGCCATGATACTTTTTTCAAGTTTTTGAAGTTAAAAAGTTTGCGCTTCGTAGGCAAGGTACATTTGGTGCTCATGATTTATGAAGGATATATTTTTAATACTGTACTGATCATGATGTTGACTTTGTTATAACTTACATTTTTTTGTCTTTTAGTTTTATTTAATGAAGGTTGATTGTGCTGATTTCTCAATGTTTGTTAATGTGTATCAAAGTTCCTTGAAATGAAAATATTCCTTCAAACAAAGTGCATATAAAAAAACCAAAATATTCATGTTTATTATTATCAATGAACTAGAACGAAATATTTCCGTAACATATTTATTCATTTAGCGTGTCATGGTGACATTATCTAATGCATTGGAGATCAGAAATAGTAGTAGCTATAGTGAAAATATTGTAAAGTTTGTATATATATGGAAGTCTGGTTTAATCTCATAGAACTATGCCTTTATAGACATAATTACTGGAAGAAAAGTCTAACCATGATACTTCAAGGAAGATAGGCATGTAAATACATTTAATGTAATTACTTACACTTTTATCTATCTGAAATGCTGTGTATACCTTATCTACTTTCCTCTACTACAAATATGATTATAATAAGTAAGGACTATTACTTTGCAATACATTCAAAATAAAGAAGTAGGTATAAAGTCCTTTCGATTTGTTTAAATCCTCATATTGATAGGATAGTAATTGCAACATCTTGGGTATTTTAAAGTTTTATTTAGTCAACTTCATCATAGAGCTATTTATCATTTGGCTTGTTGGCGATAAATATATGGTTGTGTGTATTTTGTTGTTTTTTTCACCTATTTTGATTTATTCACATTATTGTCGTCAAATTTGAAATAAGAATTGAAGAAGATATGAAATCGCTTAAAATTAAGAAAAATAGCCTTTGGTTCTCTTATTTTAGTAATTTTTGCATTCCAAAGTGTAGGAGTATGGGGAAAGTAATGTAGCTTAGCGGTTATTTGTGAACATTTTTCAATACGTTTAGCCTCTCAGTACTTTCAGTACTTTGATTTGACATTTTAAAGTCAAATTCTGAGGTCAAGTTTAGAACTGTCTATGCTGTATGAGTAAATGATTAATAAATGATGAAATTGTGAATAAATGATAAAGGCATGTAGTTATGCATGTGTAGAAGTTGAGAGTTCAGGTCACCTTACAAGGCACAGCTGGTGGGAATCTCCCTAGTCAAGCGTTATCGTGTCCGGATAGAGACAGAAGGGTCACTAGTTCGAATCCCACCACGGACATGGTGTTTTTCATTACTCTTTCCTATTTCACATGTAATTATTTTGGTGGTAATCATTTTGTCCATGAAAAGAATATTCACATAACTTGTAATGCAGTTTGTGATGCGCACCTTGCCTCATAACCTAGCTATTTGTGTTTGTTTACATGTCAGATTTTTGTTAAAATTTCAACTCGGTGAAATAATGAACAACGGCTGTATTCCATTCTTGGTATTCAAAATGTATATTTTTATATTTTCTTTTCAAAACACTTTGTGATTTTCATAAATTCGTATTCTTCTAAAAATACGTGTAGTAGAAGCATTGAAAGTTAAAATCATTCTCCTCGGAAACCAGCACAGTAACTTCTACGTCAGAAACATTAACAAATTTGTATTCAGATCCATATAATTACAACATTACTGGAAAACGGAATCTTTTAATTCTTACGTGATATGTGTGTTTCTTATCGACTTTTAAAAGACAAACGAGGAAACTTAACACAATGTAAATGTGAATACTTCAGTATCCTAAGTTACGTCAATCTGTAGGAGGTCCAATCTCAAGGCATACTGTCCTCGGTATACGCACATGTAAATAACATTCTGTATGTACAAACCCGCCCTTGGAGGTCTCCCGTGCAAAGAAATGCTACATATGCGCAGATTGGACTTCTTCATGCAAGGTACTCAAACAGAAGTCTGACAGTGCCGATTGCCACGGCCCTATAGTTCGAAGGGCTCTGACTTTCTATCTGCGATTTTATCGACCCCGACCAAATTCGCGATTTAATCCGACCACGACTAAGAAAAATTACATGTTATGAAATAAAAATAAAAGAATAAATAAATGAAATAAAACCGTGGCTAGATATATAGTCAGGACCCTTCGGACTAGGGCCACACAATACGAGTATTAAAACCGTGGCTAGATATATAGTCAGGACCCTTCGGACTAGGGCCACACAATACGAAAATATAGAAATCACGATGAGCTCTGTTCCGGAGATTTTTCTCGCAACAGAATGATTCAAGTCCGGAATTTCTTACCTGGAGAAGTAGTTACTACACCAATATTTTAGACAGCTTTAAAACTCCGTTGAGCACTAATTTATTGCCATTTTGTCAAATGATAATTTGCTTCTTCACCAAGTGACTTCTGTCCCACAGTTCTTCTGGAGGTTGCAAACACCATACCTGCAGGAAATCTCGTATATGTAGAAGTGCATAATGTATTAAAATGCTGGTATATAACTGGCAAACTACAATATATGTGTACTTGTTGAAAAAGTGGAGATAATTCGAACATTCCATGAACGTATGTAATTTACATGTAATCTGTATACAAACTCCGATATTATATTATTTTCATAAAACCAATAAACCGTTTTGTCGATGAAGATGTAGAATTTTCTAGACAGTTCAATACTAGGAATTCATCAGCTATAATTTAGGCTTAATAACTTCCGTCAGTTGGAAGAAGTAGAATAAGACCCAGCACCTAATGTGTTACATCAGATCATTCTCGGCCCCCATCACATCAGTTGTCAAGCTTACGCTACAGTATATGCGTACCGACAGACGAAACGATTCGAAGGGCAGATCATAATATTTTTTAATTTGTTATGATATTGACAATAGCTTGTTGGATAAACGAGTAATTACAGGTTATTCGTCAACTACATCTACCTATATCTCGATAATGTGTCAAACTTCTAGATTTCAAAGTTCTGGCATTACTTTATATACGAGTTATCGCCCATTAATTGTAATCACCTATTTTGGGCATTTGCGGAAACCTAATTGCACCTAAAAGTAAGTTTTAAATGAACAGTTTACAAGAACACGCATATTTTTCATTAAAATATGACATAACAAAATATAAAATTAGATCCGGTAAAGGTCGTCACATGTATTACATTTCAAATACGAAAGAGGAAGCTTGCCTGTCGTTCACGGAGGTTCGAGAGGGACCAGACTTCAATTAGATATACGTCTACTTTCATATTAGAGACGTAACGAAAATACACGTGGGTCAACTTGAATCTATTTACAAAATGAAACGAAAAGGTGATATACTTCTGCAGTCAGAGCCGTATGTACACGTCTTATCAAATAAGGAACGAGGCAGAAGATGTGATGCATGTTTCGAAAGGTAACATATCTTGACACGACTGTCTATAGCTACAGCTAAATAATGCGTTACCTAACTCAGTACCGGTAGTACTTTCTTGATGAAATAGACACCAACTGCATACTTAATCAACCTTATCATCATAGGGCTAATAATTCTTAATAATCTGAAGCTTGGATATGTGACTGCAAATCATAATTCACCGTGTTTTATTTATCATTACAAATTTTACTAAGGGATATAACTCTTACTATGATATGACCGATTCAAAATTTCTTTGCAGTGGTGAGGATCTCAAAAGATGTACTGTGTGTAAGGTAGTGCGATATTGTAACGCAGTGTGCCAGGTAAGTTTCTTCCCCTGAACAAGTGATTGGATGAATTTTTTTTAACAAATCCAGTCACTTCAAAGGTGATAGCTATAATGATTGATTTTAGCATTTATTAAAGTAATTTGTTTTTGCCCTCTTTTTGATTATTTTTCTTGTTATATCTTGGAACAATAATGCAATCATTAAATAATGTCATACTGGGCATTATTATTTGTTTGTTTTTCCATTTTTTATTTGTCTTGTTTTGTTTCTTTTTGAGACAAGATTACTACTGTACATGTAGCAAGGCTTACATACTGTAATGGACATAAAGTTATGTACTTTTGTAATGGAGAGAAACTTTCAGTGAAATCAGACTCTGAACATCAAAACTCCAGACTGGTATTCTACCCATATTGATGAGGGTAAAATTTAAGGTACATGGATACAGTTTGACGTGTCAGCTTCAACTGCAGGGTATTAATTCTTATAGTAATGCTAATGCCTAGGAAGTTTGGTGTTTTTAACTGTTTTGTTGTCAGTTTATAATGGAATCATGAAAGATTTCGAAACAAACCAGTTCTTTTATAAATATACCTTGTACAATATTTTCTGTTGTTTTTTTTTTTACAGAAAGTGGACTGGACATCACACAAGGGGGAATGTCCTTGTCTAAAGAGAGTTTTTCCTGACGTGCCTCTGGATAGTGTCCGCCTAATGTTGAAACTTCTCTTAAAGCAAAAGGTACAACTGATATAACAGAATTGGTAGTTATTTAGTAATATCCCTAGTACTTTATACAACTGCCAATGCCTTAAATTTATGTATACTATTTAGATAGCTTGCATTTGTCTACAAAGGTGTATTTTTGTACAGCTTCTAAGAAACCATATGAATGATAGAACTACATTACCAAACAGGAGTGACAAAGTGAATTTATTTTAGGTTGAACTAAATATTTGATAATTGTTATATTATTATAAGTATGTGTATATATATTTCATCATTTTCACAGATAATTCTTCACTTCATTTCATGGTGGTCTTTTGAAACCAGAATAAAGCAGTGTCTTTCTTAAAGAAAAGTAATTGATATTATAATTTCTGTGAAATTAGCTTGGAAAGTATAAGTTTCCAATGTGCTCAGTATTGCTAATTTTCATACAGCTCACTAGATGCTTCTATGTGTGCTTGTACCTTGCTTTTTTGTATGCAAACCCTGTATATTTCATCCAAAGCATGTTTGAGTCATTCAAATAGCCATAAATATTGATTTTTTGCAAACTTACCTGAAATATGTAACACATACATCAAATGTCTACCTGCTTTTTTTTTATTGATTTTTACACAACAGAAACTGTTCAAGGTGATCTCAAACTAAAATATCCTTTTCTCATCAAAAATTTCAAGTGTTTGTCAAATTAGTACTTAGGTTAAATATATATATTTTCTATTTTTTTTCAGGTTGGTGACAATGGAAACTCTGTCAAAAATGATATTGGTTGGAGAGACTTCTCCAAATTCCAATCACGTAAGTTATAATGTGCTTATATCTTAAGGTGTTCTTTGATTGTATGGAGCACAATTTGCTTTGCTGACATCTCTTTCTATACATGAACTGGTGTACATGAAATGTAATAGATAAAACACATGAAAGCCATTCTGTTTCTGTTGACTACAATGTATTTCCATTGCCATATGATAATTTTTCCAATGTAAAAACGAAAGATAAACCACACAATGTTTTTAAAATTTGACGTTTTTTTTTCAATAATTTTCATGTAAATGAGCTGTTAACCATGAAGTCTGTGAGATGAAATTGAGGTTTCTGAGAGTTATAGCCCTTTGTTAATTTTCGATACTATATATTCTGCCTTTATTCACAATGTAGTTTATTAATTAGAGAACATTTTAAATCCCCAATATATACACCGTTTGGGAAATTTATGATATTCAGAAAGTTTCTGGGAAAACTTCCTCTTGGTAATTATTCAAAGATAAGAGAAGCTGAATTGTATCTGTTATGAAACGGTTATCAAAACAAATAAAATTTAATAAAAGTCAATCTCACTTAAGGTACAAGCCAATGTTATATGCAATTCAGAAGGCCAGCATGCAAAAATAAACATGACCAATCTGCATACAATTGTGGAACGTGTGTTTACAGGTAAAATGAGATGTCACACATCCTGCATGCTTTTCATGACATCATATCACAGGTTGAATACACGTGTTTATAGTAAATACCGACCTCTCACAGAATTGTCTAATAGATTTTCCAACTTAGGTTTAGCAAAGATCGCAAATGGAGACATGTTTATAAAAAGTGAATATCTGATATCAACAGCTTTTATATATAAATACCAATGCATGATATCATCTTGAGTATTTCTCAAATAAGTTGATTTTTGTTATATCTGTATACAATGAATGTAAATAGGTTATATTTTCTCTTCGTGTTTTTAGTGAAAGTTGCGTATATTTGGGTTTTTAATTTACATTTTCCTTTTTCCCTTCACAGATTCAGATGAGATCAAGTCTGACAAAAACAGAATGGAACAGCTGTCCAAGATTGTGTTTACATTGAGAAAACTTCTTGGAGACACTACCCTTCCTCCTGCAGATGACCTATTAGAAATATTTGGAAAGGTAATGATATTTTCTGTAGGGATTTGTTTATAATGATGTCAATTAAATTTGTATGGATGTGTATTGTAACTTGTAGCTTTTATGTCAGTCATAGCTAAACTGTTATTATAGAGGTTGTGTTTTAAATGGGTTACATTTAAATGAATTAAATATTTGAATAAAACCATGAAAAATATGTGTACATTGAGATTGAGAAGGATGGAAAATTGTAACTCTATCATTGACTTTTGCAAAAAGTGCGTCCTGCTCATTTTGTTAACCTGTCATTGAAAAATAAGCAGCTATACAGTATGAACTGAATTTGTAAGGATTTATGCTTTGTAGATGGTAATCAACAGCTTCACAGTTTGTGATGGAGAAATGCAGTCCATTGGTGTGGCTATCTACCTCAGGTAGGATGTGTTGTAATAACTGCATGTTGTTCTTGTAAATATTTGTATACAGTAAGTTCGAGATTTTAAGTTTTAGAGATTGCAAGTGGTGCACACTGCTAGTGGACATTTAGCCCCTGATTTTGCCATAACCTGTATGGTAACTTTTTATTCTTTCAAATAGTGGCAGGGATCAGAATATAAACATGGTACAGTGTTTGTGTTCTTCTGAAATCTGTCATGTTTTTTACTTAATGATGCTGGTAGGTACTCCTACCCATCTCATTTTTGACATTTCTTTTGATCTTAGTTTGGATTTTCTTCATCCTCTTCTAAAAGTTAAAAATTGAGGCACTTGAAATCACTGTGGATCCCTTGAAAGAAGTAACAGTTGTATGATGCACCTATTCAATGATTTGCACTACTGCATTCCCTTAAAAAAAGCCTCACAAAATGTCAAAACCTTACCTAGCCAGATATTATTTTTAGTGTGTAAGATTTGTGGTGATGTTACAAAGACAAATAGGTATAGCAGCTTCCCTGATATTGATAATTAAATATTTGATAAATCTTTCAAGTCACTGTACTTAGAAAATACTTGTTCAGAAGGTATTAAAGAGACTGTGAAACTGAAATGTGTTTGTATTCTGCATATCTATGGTAACAAAAGAGAAATCAGACAGTAGCATTTGAATTGTAGTTTTGTTCATCATTTGGGAAATTTACAGAAATAATTTTTCATCACAGTGGGAGTATTCATTGGTAAAGTAGTAGACAAGATTCTACATAAATGATTGATGTAATGCTGTTGAAGGTAACTGGTTTATCCTTCACTGTATCAGTTTAAAGTACACATATAATGCAAGAAAATTGATTTGAATTATATATACCTATACTTTATTGAAACATCTATAAAGCTTGTTATACAAATATTCTGTGGAAGTTAATAATTTGACTAAACATAATATCATATAACATTAAACCAATCAAGCACACTGGTAACATAGAACAAACCAAGATATTCCCACCGATTGAACAAATTGAAGTTCAACATTAATGCTATGAATTTATTACTATACAGAAAAGGATAGTTTGAAGCAGATACAAAAGAATCCTAGCTTTTTCACACATACAACCTACCTTGGTAATAGGAAAGGTTAACTCAACCATAATGAACGAAAATGTGAGAAGTTTCACGTAGCGTATAATATGTCATGGATGTACAGATGTATTTACATTCATAATGCATAAAATATGCATATGAATTGGGAAGCTACCATAAATAACACTCGTTGATTTCTGTTACATTGACAATTATCCTCACAGTTTTACATGTGTATTCAACTGTTCATTTGTACATCATTGTATCTATACTACACATGCAAGGTGTATGTGATATTAGAGGTTTAAGCGATATGTCTTACTTTGTAATACATGGTAACCTATTCTTAGACAAGGAGTCCTTGTCTTACTTTGTAATACATGGTAACCTATTCTTAGACAAGGAGTCCTTGTCTTACTTTGTAATACATGGTAACCTATTCTTAGACAAGGAGTCCTTGTCTTACTTTGTAATACATGGTAACCTATTCTTAGACAAGGAGTCCTTGTCTTACTTTGTAATACATGGTAACCTATTCTTAGACAAGGAGTCCTTGTCTTACTTTGTAATACATGGTAACCTATTCTTAGACAAGGAGTCCTTGTCTTACTTTGTAATACATGGTAACCTATTCTTAGACAAGGAGTCCTTGTCTTACTTTGTAATACATGGTAACCTATTCTTAGACAAGGAGTCCTTGTCTTACTTTGTAATACATGGTAACCTATTCTTAGACAAGGAGTCCTTGTCTTACTTTGTAATACATGGTAACCTATTCTTAGGCAAGGAGTCCATTGATACATTGACAAAAAGTCTAATGAAAGATTAGACTACAGGCTGTATACATGACTGATAGAACAATAAATATAAAGTATATAAGTAAGTAAGTATAAAACATAAATATTCTGACACCACATCCATATAGTGTATTGATTACCATCCCATGATGGATGTAATAAAAATTTTATATAACAGGTCAAGGGCAAAGGTAAAATCTTGAACTGTTTTCATTCTGGTTTGGACTAAACATTTATGACATAGCTGAATTCAATCATTTGTGTCGGTACGAACTATATACTTTATAGCAATATGTTAGTGTTTAGTATTTGCTTTTTGATATAAAAGTACAGTAAACGTATAAATGTTGATACATTTTTTTCAAGTCCATCCTTGCTGGACCATAGTTGTGAGCCTAATGCTGTAGCCACATTCCAAGGCACGAAGCTGATAGTAAGGGCTACCCAGAATATACTTGAGCCATCTCCAGCCAATGTAAGTTTATCAGGGGAATCACCCAATATATATAATCAGAGGTTTTCTTGGCTATCAAGATTATTTCAGGGGCTGATAACTCTTGTTACCATTGTTACATATATCATGTTACAGGGCTGTCAGATTACCTCTAAATAATGGTAAGCAGGCGGGCTTATATCAGGACAAAAAAAAAAATCCTGGGTTGCGGGGTTACATTCTATTGAACAGCAATAAATACATTGGTGGATCTAGTACCAGACACAGACTTATTGCCACATAAATATTGTAGCCAGTGTGTGTCTATTTGTCTATATTGGTATTGACCGCCACTCTGTCCCATCAATAATTGGTCCATTATCTAAATACTTAGCATATGTCTTATGTAGTATCATTTTCTTTACATTCTCAATCCATTTTTTATATATGAGGTTTTTCGTCCACTCACTATATCTATAAGATATATGATATTAAAGTTTAGTGAAAACGAAAACTGTTCCATATAAAATTTTCCATTGTAATTGAATAGAGAGGTTTTCAACTACGATAATTTATATGTTATTTTAATGTAGGGAGATTTAAATTATTTTAAACACTTGTTTTGTTGTAGATTTGTATAAGCTATGTGGACCAGCTGGAAACAATAGAGGAGAGACAGAAACAGCTGCAGGAGCAGTATTATTTTACCTGTCAGTGTAACAGATGTCAGGACAAAGGTCTGGTAGGTAAATACTTATATCCTTCAGCTGTACTGCTACACAATCTCCATTCAATAAAAGATATACATTGATAAAGTCAGGCACACCTATTTGAGTTCTGAAATATTACAAGTTAGCTACCATATTTATCCTGCAATAAGCCCATATATGGTATCAGTACTACCTTCATGTGTTGTTGTTAACTAAAATTTGATACACAAGTATTTGAAGTTTCTTGTAATATTCCCTACACAAGACTACTGCAGTAATTCAGTGTTCTTTAATGTTTCCACACCAGACTGATTTAATGTTCTGTGATATTCCATCATCAAGACTAATTTATTGCCCTTTAATATTCCAACAGCATGGCTAATTCTTTGTCCTGAAATATACCCACCTCTAGAATAATTTATATCCTATAGTATTCCCACTCCTCGACTAATTTATTGTCATGTAGTATTCTGATTGCCTGACATGAGTATACAGTAAAGAGATGCCACTCATAAGCTTATTGAAGGATAAGTACAGTGAACAAACTATTTTATTTCATTTACTTAAGACATTTTACAACTAACAAGCACTTCTGGACAAACATATGCCATGAAAAAAAAAAAAAAAAAATTAAAAATCTCATTAAACTATGAAAACAGGTCAATGACTATTGTTTTAAAAAGTAGTGACATGCAACAATACCCATTAAAAATCAATGGAAGAGCCAGGACATGCATGTGTGAGCAATTTACCAGTGACAAAAAATTTCAATTTTCTTGTAACAATATTTAGAGCCATGAATTATGTTCAGTGTCATTGAAATGTTGTAATCAGAGGAATAACCTTGAATCTGTAAAGAAATGTCAAGGACATGAAATTAACATGCAACTATCTTTTAATGACATTTTCATGGTCATTAAATTTTACCTTCATCAATTTTCAATGAATTTTCATGTGTTTTTCAATGATTTTCTTGCTTTTTTATGTTCTTATGGACTATGTAACTTTAAGTAGTGAATTTGACATAGTCTTTTTTACAATAATTCTGAAAGCTGTATGAAAATTAACATCTAAATTACCACAATTATTGTATTTATCCTGTAATAAGCCCAGGGGTCAACACAAAATCTTTAACACAAGTAGGACATAGGCTGTAAAGGGGGAATGAAATAGGTACAATGTAGTTAAGTTAATACAGTTTAAACATCTTTACTAAACTGATTCAGACATCCAATTATCTGGTTACCAGACAGTTGAACTTATTAATTCTAAAGGACCACTTCATGTTCCATTCCTTTAATATTAGTTTCATTTTAGATTTTATCCTTAAGGTAAAACCACCAGAAAGACACTTTAATCATTCTTGAGTACTGATAATGATTAGTCGTAACATTTAAGAACAGACAGGTGTCACAACACACATCTCGGTTATTAGATACACTGATTCAGGTCACCTTGAGGAGAGAATCTTGGAAATGACAAATACATTGACATTGATCACTATAAATGCTTTTGGCAAATATTATTACATGTAAGTGACATTCCTTAACAAGTAATGTTTTTCCAGTTTCTGAATGTTTCTTGTGTTCAGGGTGTCACCGACCTTGGTATTGAATTTGTCAGCTCGAACACACTGACTTCATCGTTGTCAGGCATGGTTATTGCGATGAGTCCCCTGGGACAGTAGGCTAGGCCAGTTGGGCGCTTTATACCATTCTCCCGACCTACCAACACGCCACAATAAAGACCTACCTCAGAAAATACCACCACACGGTCATTACCAGAGTCAGCCACATACACCAAGCCATTCTTATCACAAGCAATACCCTTCGGGTACCTAAGTTGTCCGCCTGCAGTACCATATCCTCCAAACTTGTATAAAAAATTCCCTAACCTGTCAAAGACTTTCACCTCATGGTGACCTGAATCTGACACAAGGATATTGCCATACAAGTTAGTTGTTAGGTAAGAAGGATTTTCCAATATGGCTGACATATTCCCATGGGAACCAAATCGTATTTCTTTTTCGCCATTTATTGAAATGATAGACACACATTCATAAATAATATCTGATATGGCAAATTTATCAACATCTAATGTAGTAATTCCGAATGGGAAGGCATCGCCAGCTGTATGGATTTCCTTGATGAGTATCCCATCTTTTGATACAACTTTCACACACTTGGATTCCTCATCTGTGATGGCATACCCAGTGCCATCAGTGGTCATGGTCACACATCTTGGCACACAGCCAGGCAGTCCTATGATCTTTACCGAATGTCCATAGTTACCAAATATCTGGAGTCGTCCGTTACCATTCTCTGCAACAAGCAGATGATTGTCTTTGTCAAACGTAGCACTAAATGGAAGACTGAGCTGTCCCCGCCCTGCACCAGAAGTATTAATGGTATACACAAGTTTCCCGGCAGGAACACATTCAGAATTAGACGAGGCCTTCTCACAATATCTGAGTGGGTCATAGATGCTTGATGCCAGTTGAGGATCAGGGTTATTCAAGTGAACTAATACTGGTTGACTTTTACTGAGAGAATTTCTGCCAGTTTGATGGCCACTTTTGAAAGATGATTCCACTTTTTGTTGAAAACCTCGACCAGATGATGATTTTCCTGACTGTTGCTGCTGCGCTTGATTGACTTGTCCACTTGTTGATCTTGTTAATCTATGTCTTGATGAAGCTCTTTGACGCCCTGTAATATCATTAGGTACCAGTGTAAGTTTGCCTATTGATACACTTCCATTAGGTACAAACTCCAATGTTTCTGGAAGTTTCAGGAATTTTGATTTGTATTGTTTTGTGATGTTTATTTCATGAACTTCATTCAGAATATCTGTATAGTTCTCTAGAACTTTATCAACATCCTCTACCTTCAGAATACCATCTAGTCGTGACTGCAAGCTTTTGAACTGCTCCAGATGTGTCCTACATTGCTGTTTACGTCTGTACACATCATCTGATTGTCTTTGATATTCCTCATCTAATTCACACAAAAGCTTGACCTCTGCACCAAAAATTTTGTTCACAAGTTTTCGAGAACTCTTTTTCATATGAAGTTTTGTTTCCTCATATTTGCCTTTGATCCGACCTTCAAGACAAGTAAGATTAAAGAGTATATCTTGCAAAATCCATATTTGGTCATGTATGTGTTGGATACAGTGTTTAAGGTCATTTCTTTTTGAGTTCAAGGTTGTTGTTATATCAGTAACAGTGTGCTTACCGTGATCACCAAGGAGACACTTGACACATATCCCAGTCTTGCAGCTCTCGCAGTAAAATTTGATGGCCTCCATTTTATGGTGTTGACAACAGCTTGTTTTGGAGCTGTTGACAGTGAGATCTTTGGTTATAGGTACCATGATGTGTGATTTCAACACAGAGCTTTGGTTGTGGCGTGAGCTGCATTGAATGCAGAAATATTTACAGCAATCAACACAAAATGATTCAGCCGTCTTAAGAGGAACTCTCTCCCCACACATATCACATGTTGGAGCATTACTACCATCCAGCTCTTTGGAAGACCTCCATGCTTCTTTGAATTCAATAATCCGAAAATCTTTAGGAAAACCTGGTACTCCATTGGTTGGCATTGTTGTTGGTTTCCTGCAAGTTGGACATGGAAATGATTTGTGTGATTGATGGAGAAATAGATTGTTAGGGGCGATATATGAGGTCTGCACATGCTTCTCCAGGCATGACTCGCAGAAGGAGTGAAGGCAAGGTAGAGCTCTGGGCAAGTTCTGATCACCCAGACAGATCGCACAGCGTGTTAGGTCCGACGGAAAACAACTGGCCATCTCCTGAGATAATCAAACTGTCAATAATTAGGCTTCCTTGGTGTAAATAATTAATAAGGAACGTTATTATTCATCAGAACGATTGTGGAATGTTTCTATAGTATATGTCTTTATTGATTTGTTTTGGTAACAAGTGCTCTTTTATTGTCAGCAACTTCTCACTGATGTAATACATATATCCAGTATTGGTGAACTATCCATATATTGATGCTCCTTAATCACCAATCAACCATTTATTACTTCTGAAGTTCGAGAATTCACCTCACATCAGTTTTGTCACAGGATAATTTTTATTATATATCAGACAAAATGTTCAGCTAAATGTAAACCATTGTAAATATCTTGTATCATTTTGAATTCACATTAAAAAAGCTCTTTAAAAATACCTTGCATTATTTTCCATACAGTAGTGCTCTTTACTTACTGTATCCAAAGGAAGAAGTTCAAATTTTCTTCTATATGAAAAAGTGATATAGTTTCTTAAATTTCCCTTTGAATCCATATACATCAAATTTCACCACAGGATTAACAGTTCAGAAACTCTCCAGTCGTATGTATAAGCCTTTGACTTACAACATATGGTGTCACCACTGTTATGGTACTGTTACTGTAGGTAGGCTGGACTACATGTATAGGACGTGAAACACATGGTGTCACTCATACATATGTATGCAGTTTGATTTCCAATACACTGTACTTTGTAAGAACATACCACTGCTGGGGACATTTACTAGATTATGTACATCTGTATAGTCCCACAGATATGTCACAGAATATGTATATCTAATTAAAGCCATGTCAATTATGCTATTTTTGAAAAGAAGGCGTTGCATTACATTTTAGAATCTTTTAATAGAAAGATTCTTGATGATTATACTGGGAAATTTGAATGTGATTTCAAAATCAAACCTCATACACTTTTCGATTCCATTTAATTAATTGATGAACAAATTAAAGCAGAGAGAGAATGACAAGGCTATAATAATATTCACCAATGTACATGGAAACTGACATCCAGTAGTACAATGACATTAGTTAACACTGTGTTATTTGGTGTTTCTCACTGTTACAAGTTCATAACCTATTATTATGGAATGTAATGTTTTATGTATGGAATTCCCTTGGATTGTTTCTTGTTTTTTGGGGTGTTTTTGTTAAATCCTGCCATATAACATTTACGTCCTGAAATATGTGTACTTCATGTGGACATTATTTTGTAGACTGGAAATTTAAAATTACTTTCTACTCTCTGTGTATCAGTAAATCCAAACAAACATAGAGACTAACAGATCAAGGGTTTGAGAAATTCAGAGACTTAGAATTGATGGATGGAACTTTTCTGAAATTTGATTTAAAAGAAATAATTCAGCTATTAGTTTATAATAAGATCTACCTGTAAAAGCATGTTTGCATAGTTACTAGACTGCATATCTACTTTCATTTAGAGGCCTGCAAGGGAAATGCTTTTTTTTAAAGTACATGTTCATTTGTATATGTTGATTTTACAATTGATATTGATCAAAGGAAATACTCTCTGCATATCACATGATAGTTAATTATTTAATTAATTAATTAATTAGTGAACAACTTTTCATTGTGATAATGACCTTTTCTGTAAATAATGTATTTCTCGTGGAAGTTAATCAATATCATTTGTACTGCCCATGACCATTAAAACTACACTGCATTGTGCACACTGGAAAGCTGTTATCCTAAGTCAGCAGATGGCCTTGGTATCAATATGTCCTGGTCTCTCACCAGAAACATTGATTATGTAGGGGAGATAACTGGCCCAAAACTTCAACTGTCCCTTTATTCAGTGTTTGTATTAGTTATTGAGACATTTTCAATGGATTATCGAGTTATATGAAAAAGTTTTGAAGAATCACTTTTTTAAATGTATATTTTATGTAATGCTGAATTGATGATAGTCACAACTGTAACTGTACCTTCAATTGTGACTCTTTGATTTAATTTAACAATTTGAACTGTTTAACCTGTGATGATGGACCTTCAATTGTGACTCTTTGATTTAATTTAACAATTTTAACTGTTTAACCTGTAATGATGGAACTTTAATTGTGACTCTTTGATTTAATTTAACAATTTTAACTGTTTAACCTGTAATGATGGAACTTTAATTGTGACTCTTTGATTTAATTCAACAATTTTAACTGTTTAACCTGTAATGATTAAACTTTAATTGTGACTCTTTAATTTAATTTAACAATTTTAACTGTTTAACCTGTGGTGATGGACCTTCAATTGTGACTCTTTGATTTAATTTAAAAATTTTAACTGTTTAACCTGTAATTATGGACCTTCAATTGTGACTCTTTGATTCAATCATTGAGATATATTATATATGTATCAGAGGATGATGGACACACCTTGAACATAATTGTATGTATATATACAAATGTTGTTCTTGAGGTGAATATTTATTCACATGTATGAATACAGTGTATGCTGAACCTTATAAAAAGACATTTAGTGAACTGGGGTCAGTATAAATTTTCTGAACAAATTATCTGTTAAGATCAGCTTTACATCAAAGTAGACACTGTAAAATATCATACACTCATTAAACCAGACATAAATTTAGAAAGCCAACACAACAGAAAAATGTTGTATTTGATAGAGAGTTAAGTAACAAACTAAATGGCACCATGAAGAAAATATATGAACCTGCTGTTTCTAAAACAAGTATCATATTCATCCTGAAGTAAGTTAATGGACCTAAACACATCAACAGAACATTAAACATGAGGGAAGTCTTATCATCATATATGGGCTTATTGTCATATCAATATTGTAAGTCTGAAACATCTGGTAAATATTTGCATGTGATCCAGCTTGACACAATATCTGTGTTGGGAATGCAAACATTTAATTATTTGTTTTGATTCATAATGGGGTCTATAAACTTGATCCAGTTTCTTCCAGGAAATGTTTGGTTTTAGAAGCATTAGGTTATGTTGTATCAGCTCCCTTATTGTGATAAAGCTGGGGATAAATATGGGGACTGGTAATACCTTTTAAGGTGTTAACAGCTTGCTATCAGTATATGTGGCAGTCTGGGTGCTGGACGACAGCTGGAGCTGTAGTATATGGTATTTGTAATAGAGATATCTGCACTGTACTGATAGAGAAACAGCTGTCTCACATCATACACATGTAAAGTTTGATTATTGATTATTACTATAAAGTTCAAATGCACAATATACATTTAATGGGTCAATGTAATAAGCATGCATATATACCTTTACTCTCTGAAAAAAATACCAGAATAATGCCTTGTCATTTCAATTGATCAAGGGCATATAGTGTGTTCCTGTCGTAATTTCATTTTGGCTTTTTTACTCTGACTCTAACAGAATGGATATTTGGTAGGTCAGACTCTAATTTTATTATGGTCAATATATTTTTGCCAGAATTAACATTAATAATTTTGATTAAAATTGTCAAAAAAGAGATAAGACCTGAATTGGAGGGCCAATAATTGCCTAACTTCTGTGAAAATAAAGAAAGGAAAAAGAAAAATCACAAAAAAGATAGATGCTTTATCATGGATCATGCAGACAGAAAAAAAACTTATCTATTGTCATCAGGAACATTGATGTCACTACAACACATCTAGGTTTGTAGTACCCCTTATAAAATAGAAAATGTACCTTGGAATCTTTCTTCATTCTTCAATCTTGATTTCTTCTTTTTTTACGATAGATCGTAAGGATATTTTGAAAAGGCTGACAATAACCCTTGTCAAGTTTAACTTTTAATAAATGTTTACTTTAAACTTGATATTTAAATTTTCTTAAGCTCTCTCCAGAGAAGATGAGATCAAGACATCGAGATACTTTGCAGTAACATTTTTCAGTAAGATATAGGGATGATTGTGACAAAGAGAGTAGGGATAGGTACATTATATGATACTTGTTAATCCTGTAACTGACCATTGTCATTTTAAAAATGTTTTTATAGATGTTCATTGGACTTAACAACTTACAGCATATTTGTACAGTAAACTGAAAGGTGTACAATACCAAAACAAAGTGTTTGCTGTTAATATCAAGGTTTGATTGTTTAAATTGTTAAAATCTTGTCTACATTTGTTACACAGACCATGGGGTTTTTTCCTCTACATGTTGTGAAGTTTTCTCATTCACAAATAGTCTGTCAAATTATATCACAGACTGCTGTTGGATTATAAGCAACAGTGATTTGTGACAGTGTGAGAGCAACTTACTTAATGTTCTAGCTGATCCATATACAATAGATACCCTGTCAATGATGTTTGCTTTTTGATGTGATGTTAACTAAATTATTCTTCAAATGTAATTTTCGGCATAAAGCCAAAAACATCAGCAAAGTTTGAAATCAATGCTGTGGTCGTACAATGCAAGTTGGACACAAACTTGATCAGCAGATGACATTTTGTTACGGTAGTACAATGTTGCTCTTGGTCTGAAGTTCGTTGTGTATGATATCATGAAATGATTATATTTTTCTGACTTCATTATTTCCAATATTTATTCCATTCATATGAAAAAGTAGTCGTGACAGACCTGCCAAAAGGCGTTGCCATTGACTTCTCCAATCATTATCAAGTGGATGGAGACATCCTAAATAAACCATATGATTGACAATTGAATGAAAGTTAAACACTAAAGAAGAAATGATTTGGATCATTTCAAGGGTGATTTACTGTAGATCAAGACCTATATTCAAATATTGTACATGTTACTTACTAGTATAGAAGATAAGTATATGTCAAAAAACAAGTCAAACATCTGTTCTATATGTTAGATTCATAAAATCACATATTGGTGATAACTATATTGATACAAACTCAGTATCTGCCTCCTATATGTGGTCATGTTACTTGAGCGACATCTGTTGCCCTTCCTACAGTCAGACCAAGAACACCAGATGGTATTGATCATACAATATCCAACATATGTCCTGGTTTTTATACCTTAGGGATATTGTAATTATATGCATGTAAGTAATTAATAGCAGGTAGTATACAAGTAGACCTCTAGGATATTATATTTATAAATGTTTATAAAAAGCTGCATGTGTTATACAAGAAATGCTCTTGGAATTTTATATGACAAACAGCATGTATCATACATTGAAATACCACAAAATAAAATAATGACAATATACAAAAAAAAAAAAAAATAATAATAATAATAAAATACACTATACAGATGTTATCCAATCTAACAAGGACTTACTGCAGCAGAACATTCCACCTTGACAGGTACTACATTATTAATATCATATAAAGCAGCCGCAAAATAAAACAAATACAAAATCCACGACAAGAGACATAAAAGTATACGTACATATGTACTAAAGTACAAATTAGACCCAAACTAGACCCACGCACACCACAAAGCTAACAAAACAGTTCAAGAAAATACAATCCAGCACGATACATCTAAAACAGACACCACATCACCAGGTCAGTCACAGACGTGCTACACATACATGCCATGACCAAGAGTTCGAATAAGACACTGTCATGTTGCAATAGACGACAAAAAATCCATGCCTCAATTGACTTCAGAACAAGACATGAGCGCCAACTTACATTCAAGTTTATAACTACAACAAAAGGCACACAGTTACTTCCTTCTTCCTGGAACTACAATACAAAGGAATCACCAGCCATTAGCAGTAGTACACAACATTCGAGGGTTCAAGCAAAACAGGAACATGTCCCCTATGAATCTCTCTGAAAATTAATGCACAACAACTGACAGAACTTCAGTTTTTATTTCTTCCTTAATCCTATCTTCACAAACAAATCACCCACATACTTCCGCATAATCACCAACTTTACATATGGAGCGGAAAACCACACAGAAAAAATGTCTGCAATAAATGGAATATTTGAGGCAAAGTTGACGACTTTAAATGTAATTGGTTTCAGACAAAATGTTGCCTGACCACTCTATGAGGAATTCATTTGAAGCCATTTTGTATGAGTATCAAGTATTTGCATCTGTTTTGTCATCACATTCACATATTTGAAGGTCACTGAAAAGTAAATATTAGGATTTTTTGTATTTCATATTCTCTCTGTTATATGTTTGCCTAAATAATACTTCCAGAATGGTGAGATGTTAAGTGTGAGATGTCAGAGTGGCCATTGTCAGGGATACCACCGTAGGCTGGAAGGTAAATAAGCTATTGTCTTGTCATACGCTGTTTACATGTGCTTGTTTATGTGGTAAACTTCTAGGGTTCTCAAACATTCCAATTCTAAATTAAGATTGTGAGGTTCCCAATGATAGAAATAAATATTTGATATGTACTGGGCTTTATATGTATATATCCACTTTTAATTCACACATATATATTGATAAAATAGCGATAATTGACAAAACGTCGACACCTACATTAATAAGCTATCACAACACACTTGATAAAAGAGAACAATTGACTCTATTACAGATGACAAGTTTGGGGACTGTAGAGGCTGTGGTTACCAAGGCAACACAATCAGGGCAGATGATGTAGAAAACTTCTATGAGGCATGTCGTGAATGTTTAATGAAAATCAAGGCAGTTAGTGAAAACGGTAAACATTGTTTATATATGAAAGTCATCATGAATTAAGATTGATGTTGACAATTTGTATATTCTGAGAGGACACTGCTTTATTAATACATTAACCTCAGTTGTTGTAATCACTTGTATCAGAAAGAATAGAGGTTGAACGCCTTACGAGAATAATTGTATGTGGTTTTGATAATTTTTCCTCAGATCCTTTAAAGGTACTTCAGCTATGCGAAGAATGTCAAAAGGAACAGAAGCAGTTGTTCACAGACTGTAATGTCCATTGTGTCCATCTGTTGGTAAAGGCCTTTGATGCAGGAATCGACCGTGGTCATTGGGAAGTTGCGCTTCAGTATGGTTTGCGTGTTCAGGAAGCTTACAGGTGCATATTATGTTCCGATGTTGTTATTACATATCTAATAGAATTATAGAACGATATAACTCTAAATTCATAGTTTATAAAATTATTAAATTCTAAGTTTATATAGCTAGAGAATTTTAAGTTTATAGAACTCTAAATTTATAGAATTACTGAACTCTAAATTCATGCAAATCTTTAAACAAACATGAACGTTTTTAATGATTGCGATTGTTACCCAAAAAAGTTTTCATAATATTTAATATTGCCCTCTTTTTGGTAATTTATCAACATATCTACATAAAATAGAGACCATGGGATGTCAGTTAAGGTTTTGATGAACCATTTGATACTAATTCTGTTTGAGATATTTTTGTATATCCCAAGAAAATGCATCGTGCTGATTGGCTGCCATTTTCTGCTACATGCAGCAATCCTATCCTGTTTTGTTGAGATTTAATGTTGTGAACAATGGTTTGATTTGCCAGTAATTCTTACACTCCTTGTAGCTTCTGACAAGTTTGTTTTTGGTGAATATTAGTTTGCCGTTATTATGACTTTGCAATAGGGCAGCCGTTTTACAAGTCTCCGGCAAAGTATGCAATGCACAATGCTCCTTACCAGGGAACATTGAACCGGTGTTGCCAAAGACTTGTATAAGTATCATTACTATCAACTTAAATCATTGCTGATTTTGATAATACTATTCATTGTCTACAGAAAGTTTTATCCACCAAACAGTCCCCATGTTGGGATTGAACAGATGAAAGTTGGGAAAATTCAGTTATATTTGGAACAGAGTCAGCAAGCGTTGATAACTTTACAACAGGTGAGTCTGGACAGTGAACAAAATTGGAATTTCATGATCTGTTTATATCTGTCAGCAATGTCAGCAGATATATAGCAGCTCACAAGAAGCCAGGAAGGTCTGGGAAATTTTAGAAGCAACAGGCTTCAGTAAGATAGTGTCAAGCGCTTTTGGTAAGGGTTTAAGTAGATAGACCTTAGCTGAGTGATTAACAAGTATGTTAATCATTAACCTAAAACGCTGAAGATGTAGTTTGACTTCTTTTAAGTCAATGGTATATATGATTTGTATTTACCGTATAAAATCTTGTTTTGATTTCATTTATATCATATAAGGCTGGTTATAATAGAGTGATGATTGGAGATTGATTACACATTTGCTCAATTATTTGAAGAAAAATAACTAGGATTCCTTACCACAGTAATGATACTTGTTAATGTGTATATCATCGATTATTTAAGAGATTACATACGACGAAACTTTCAATTTCAGGCAGCGACAACAATATCCATTACCCATGGTAAAAGTCACCCCCTATATGAAGATTTGGCTGGTCTCATACACCAGTGTGCCGAAGAAATGAGAGCCAAGTTGGAGTTTTCTCTACAAGCTTAGACCTTAAACACATTTAAAAAAAATAAATGGTACATTATTCAAAATGGCTTTGGATATATAAATATTACATACATGTCAAGGGTTAAATCCACAGATCAGGATTTGTTGTACAGAGAAAGTGATAAAATGAGGAGATAGATTATAAATGAATTTTGAATTGATAGATGGTAATTTGATTAATTATTAAATTGTATTTTTAAGAATTTTGTTAATTATGCTCGAGTTTAAATTGTTTTAATCGTGTCAATGATTGATGGACCACATTTGCTTGTTCCATAAAGCAACGATAAAGACCATAACATCATTTGATACAATTCCAATTCGCAAAATGAAGGAAAACAAATAAAGTAAAGGAGAGTTAAAGCGGGATTCATTTAGTGCAGGAAAGGGAGACCAAGACTTGTTATTTGTAAAGGGTAATATCAACGTCAATGATGATTACATATCTGCTAATCTAAATCTGTCCAGGAAGGGGATCTGTGTGCAAACTAGTCTCAGGGTCGCGTAATGGAGTTTTTGTTTATACAGAATCAAAGTAGTATCTGAATACGTTATGACAAGAAACTGAATGACAATGACTTGTATGGTAAAAAAAGACAATTATCAAAATATCATCGTTCAGAACGATGTGTATTCAACTAGACAGTAAATAACAGAATTTTGAATTTTCTTGAACGTAACTGCACCTCTTGAACACTCAGTGCATTTAGCAAAAGGCATCGGAATCCAAACAGTGAAATTTCGAAAAAAAGTCCGTTGATGTTAGATATGCTAAACGTACGTCAGGCAAACCACACAGAAAATCAAGGGATAGCAAAGTAGTTAAAATGGTACTAAGTAGAAATGACACATCCAGGTATATTTTTCATTCGGGTATATTTTTAAGGAACCTCACACGTCTAACTTCATTATTGCAAACGGAAAAAGGACGAGTTCAGAATGAGATTTCCATTGCAATTAAAATGTTCAACACTTGTCCATGGATTTTATCATCCTGCATATCTTGTAATCTTATGTAGAGAGGTCGTCTGTCAACTGTTTACTTAGGTGTCTGAAACAGTATCTCTTAAATATTGAATGGGCTGATGTGTATAGATATCTTTCAATAGATTGTTGCCATTAACATACATTTTCCGCGAGGAAATTGAAATTACATTAAGTCGTGTTCTAAATAGATGTCCACGTGAATAGCAGGCGAAGAAGAGCAAGTAGCTGTTCATAGTATCACGTTAAGTGGAAATTGAGACTTTTGAATCAGACAATTACATATCATGAATAAAATGGAAATGCCGAGATAAGACATTAGGAATAAAAGTACAATGAGAACTAATTGGCCAAGAGTAAACCACAGCTTGCCACAGTAGACGGAATTTCTTAGAAAGAATAATTAAGAATTATGTTTGAATAATCATTGACATACTTATGGATCCGAAATACGATGGAGGACGAACTTGGTGGCCTTGAAGTGTAGTATCTTTGTTTGTACACATATATACTGGTCAACTGACCAGGGTATGTGTTGATATAGCATACCATTACTACACTATCTACAGGAGAGACACATTATAGCACTGTACATATTTGGTGTTTGTATACACATATATACCGGTCAACTGATCAGGGTATGTGTTGTATACATACCATTACAACACTATCTACAGGACAGACACATTGTAGCACTGTACATACTTGGTGTCTGTACTAAACGAAAATTATGGCAGGTAAGTTATGCTTGTAAACAAAATCACTTTTCATTACCGATACATTTTTGTTGATATAATGCTGCTGCTGTTGCATTCTGTCGTGATCACAACTATCCATTGCCTTATTAGGAGAGGCGGAATTAACGCGAGGTTTACACACGCGTTTCTGACACTAACTTAATTGATGGAATGATATTTCCTGGTCATAATCAGCTACGGTATACAGATATTTATGTATCAGAAAAATATACTTCTATAGTCTTGTATGGCAAACCAAATTTATTTCATGGAGAAGCGCCGATTTAATGTTCAATGAGAGTTTTTAAGGTATGCTAAATATAACTTATTTTATACTTAAATATATTTTATACTTATATATTAGATATGTATCATATCTGTAGGATATCTGATGTGTCGAGTGACTCATAAACGATATGGACTATCTTAACAGATATGGTATCTGAAAGACTTTACAAAACAATTCACTTTGATGAATTATCTTTCTTAGTACACAGGGTATGTTGTAAAGAAGCGCAAATAAAAAGTCGTATCATCATATGCTAACAAAACACGTAATTCAGAGATGCGTACAACATTTTTCTCAAAGTGTCGATCCTCATTATTTTATTAGTTATCTCGCATAAGCACCGATGGAATTGTATTTATTTGCAATAAACGTCACTAAAAAGTTAAATGTATTCTTATAAAAAGGACACCGAACGGAGAAAACCAAACTGTCATCATACACAGAAAAGCACGATTGCACGTTCCTTCTGTGCACAGCTGTGGGGACACAAATTCAACAGTGTACTTTGTTATCGATATAACAGAAAATTAATTATAACATAATTTTCCAGGCAAAGTATTATTTATATATAACGATATTTAAAAATGTATAGTTTCACCATATAATCAGACCCTCCCTAAAGTCATGACCCATTTGCGTAAAGGATAATAGTCAAATCAAACTAATGGAAGAGCTGTGAAAGTTCAAGTGGTTCATATTTGTTTAAGTACACTTTGAATTGAGCCACATATATTGTTAGCTGAAAATGTAAGAACTACAGATTTAAGTATTGCAGCTTGCTGCATATTTGAATAATTGATAATAAGTAAAACTAATTGCAACGTGTTCTTCATGTCTGTAAATTAAAAAGAGCACACAAGCAACCCATCCTGCTGTGAAAATGTGATCTCCTGATATAGCTGTACAGTTGGGTGCAGTAGGCACAAAACGTATTGTGTATTTCATTCCGTTTCGCTTCTATATTTTCTAATTGCTATCGTTAAATTCGTGTTTATAGTTACAATCTATTCTTTTTCTATTTCCATGGCTACGGAATCGACAATGACATTTTTGTTATAAAAAAATATTTTTTTCCTAATCAGAATTCGACTTCAAGAATATTGCTGTTTTCGACGACATAAAAAGGAAGTATGAAGAGTTTGGATATATCATAATACGGTGAGCCAAAACCTATGCCATGGACATTTATATCGTTAGAAACTGTATCTTTGGTTCAATCTGGTTACCCTACGAACGACTAGATAAACACAAGCATCGACAGCATCACCTACAATACAAACAAATCACACACACACACAAAAAAACAAAACAAAACAAAACAAAACAAAGTTAGACACAATACTTATCCTTAATGGGGCAACATAACTAAAACTAGTACCATGCATGATATCACAGTCACAAACATGTTACAGATTCTCCCATAGTAACAAAACTAACAAATAAAATGATCATGCATATACATCATCACTTTTCTACAAGGTAGTACACCAACACATTTCAATAAAATACAAACACATTCTCCTATCAGCCGCCTTAAGAACAAGACACAAACATTTCAATTTAAACTCATAACAGCGACAAAAGACTCGTGCGAATACAACATTCCGTCCCGAGAACAACACTTCATCCAATGTTATTAGCAGCCGTCCTAAGCACAACACTCGAGGGGTTTAATGCACATATCCTGCATCTGTCATGCACAACCACAAGCAGGACACGCACGCTTTTAATATTAGTATTAAATTAATATTACATGTTTACTCTAATAACCTAAAATCCTGTATATTATGCCTTCCCTGTCCTCTGCGAAAGCGTCATCGTAAATTTTACTGACGGAGAAGGATTAACATGGAAATGGATGAAATGAAACACATGGTGGAATTCATTTTTACTTTGCACGACACATTTTAATTTGAATGGATAATGGTACGGTTCATAGGTACTTGGCCGTGCATTGAAGATTTTTTAAATTATTGAATTACTGGATACATCTCTCCATGTGAGTATTAACATCAATGCGGAAAATTTCGGTTTTCCTCGATCGCTTTATGCACCTAGGACAAAACAAATGAATAATTCATTTCATTATTTGGACTATACCATATCTTATTCTTGATTTTTGTCGAAATGTCTTATTCATAAGGCTATCGATTATATAATCCTTTGGGTAGTTTAAATCAGTTTCAATTCGATAAGGTCCGATTGAAAGCCATGGATAGATACATATGTATTAATTGCATTCCAGGTATTGTTATACTAAAGGTCAACTTGACATGCAATCTCAAACAAAGATAAGTGAATAGCACAACTTTACACACTTCAGAATTCGATACAGTAGTCCCAAATACTGAATGAACCTGCATCATACAGCCGTTTCGTCCTTCTAGGACATATATTTGTAACCAATCCATAGTGAATAAAAATGTCAAAACCTAGATGGGATTTTCGAATTAACATGAAAAGATACATGTATCTGTTTTTAAAATATAATGAACTAACGAAAATTAATTTAGTTGGTGATATTCTTATGAAAAAAATATGGCTACATTGTAGGATCCATGTAACTATCAGATCTTTGGCTGATATGCCGATATAAATAATAATAGAATGCGAAACCTTTAGTAAGATGTTTACTCTTTTTTGTTGTAAACAGCAATATTCTAACCAAAGACGAAATCTCAAGGGTAAGGCGTGCATTTGATAATCCGAATGGTGTGATGAAGAATCAGTTCAAAGTACGTATTTTTACCAGTATTTGAATTATAGGTATTGTTGAAGTCTAACAAAGATGCGAAACAACCATGTAGACATCAAATCGTAGTTATGTTCATTGTGACAGCAGAATACAGTCGGTAGACAACAGATTCCTAGGCCTTTCTTGTTGCGAAAGATAACAAATATTAGTTTTCACTTTTGATCCACGATTGTTTGACCTTTGTGAAATATTTCAATCTCTGTTTTCTTCATTGCTTACAAACAATATTGTTCATATTCTAAATTAACGCACGGTATGTCACGATACTGATGATCCTCCTTGTAATGCTCTCGTAGCTTAACATTTTGGATAATTCTTAACTCACCAATAAGTTTGTGCTTAGTTGGACCAAAGTTATAAGTAGAGGAAGAACAAAAACATGGTGACGGAGGGGTCGGTCTTAGGTCATCTATCTTCATTTGTTGTAGTGGTTGTTTGTTCTACTACAAACAAACGCTGTAGCAACTGAATATAGATGACTTTAGAACAGTTCCTCGGCAGCTTATACTAACAATGTAGTTGAAGAGTTTGAATGAAATGGGCTTGAAGTAATTGTAGAACATTACAGGGGTGTTTCTGCTTTGAAAGTTTTATGCAATGTTAGCTTGAATAGACTTTAGTCTTAAACATTCTGATATTATGAGCATCCATTCCCCTATTTGCAAACACAACTTTCATGAATTGGCGGCTTGGAGAATCGTGGCTATCTGTAGCGACAGGTTTTAAAAGCCTGATTTGTGTCACATCATCAATACTTTTTATGATGTTTCCAAGCTTGTTTTCACGGGTCACCGGAAGCAGTATTAGCCGAACCACTCGAAGTTTTCCGTGTTTGTCTCGTGTGTTATGGCCCTTAGATAGTGATGATGTGTTTAAATGTCCCATGCCAATGTGGTGTTAATTTAATTTCTTTGTTTAGCTAGAACGTTTACTTTTTCATTTTATCAACAGTTACCTTCAGGTGGTGGTCGAGATGTCATATTGAGTTTGTGGAACAATCCAGGAAATGATGTCACCGGAATGGTTGCTCGCAGCGAAAAGATCGTCAATATTTGTGAAAAAGTATTTTTAACACTATTGTTTTAATCATAATATTTGCTTGTCAAATATTTCCTCATTACACTACAAAATTGATTCAGAGGTCGCCTACTGTGAATTGGCCAATTGTCATGTACCAGTTTTGTAGATGTTATTCGGATTTGTTGATTGTATACTATATATATTTGATACCTTCGGTTTTTTGTGGTCTACGGTTTTGCTTGAAGGGAATTTCTTACTGCTTGAGTGTTTTATCCTTAATATTGTGTAGTTACAAGGCATGTCCATTATGACTTACAGGATAATCACAGAACTGAATAGATTAGCGGTTATTTTTGTCTTTCTATGTGTTTCAGTTGTTAGGTGGTGAGATGTTCCATTTCCACGCTAAGGCAATACTGAAGGAACCATCTGTTGGTGGTCAGTTCGTATGGCATCAGGATTATGGGTAAATGACGTACCTATGTATTGTACTATGTTGTACATTTTACAAACAACATGGCCTTCTCATCATCAGACAACTTAGTACTTCTAATAGTTATATCAGTTATGAGACAGCAATATTGTTGTATAAGTACCAAAGCAGGTGTTTACGAAGAATTTGTATCAACTAGCAGTTTTTGAGTATTGCCAATCAGAACAAAGGAAATGTTAACGAAATCATATTTCAAACACAACTTCTTTGGATATATGAACGAAATAGGAGGAAATGTCTTCTGCTTCATCGACGACATCGACATTTAAATCTTAGACAATGCAATCCTTTGAGGTATTTCATCATAACATTTGCATTCACGTTCACAACAAATGATGGGTTCAATTTACTTTATTAAATTTCACTCCCAAGCAATGTGGTATAAACCTAGCGAAAAAAGCCATTCGGTTCGGCGTATGCCGTAATAGATATACATATTTGTTGTAACCCCTCTTTACACCGACTACAGGTACTGGTACAAACAGGGATTCCCATATCCGGACATAATGACAATTTCTATAGCGATTGACGAAAACACCAAAGAAAATGGCTGCTTGCAGGTATTAGTTACTAAGAAATCCACATCGTTGTATTTAGATTTTATTGTGCGAACCTTCCATATATTTATTGTTTTAGGTTTCAATTCAGAAGTTATTGAATAATAGGATTACAAGCATGTCACTTTGATTTCTTTTCTGCTCAAAATTGATACTTTAGATTGTAAAATATTTTTAACATCATGAATTCTGTTTAAATTCTTACCATTATAAATATACATGTATCCTTGCTGCTCTCAATATCTTCCTTAATAAGATTTTTATCAGTATAAACTTTTTTCTGTTACCAACTGTTTCAGAGATTGCGACGTATATAACACATAATTCGAATATCAGGTTGTTAGATGGGTTTTTAAAAATTCTGATTAAGGTGTTACGTGGCACCCACAAGTGTGGTCGGATCGATCATGGATTTTACGAAGGAGAACAAATGGCAGATCCAGAGAGAGTTTCTAAACTGAAAGAGAAACATCAACTGGATGATGTTGAACTAAAACAGGGTATATACTAAAGAAATAAGTACAGCATTTCTAACGCTCTCATACGTGATATGAACATGCTATGTTTCACTAGAAACATAAATATATATTTAATTAGTACAGATCGTCCAACAAAATGATTAACATCCATGCTATCCTATGTTATTTATTTTTGCTCGAAAATTGATGAAATTGCAGATCAGATTCAATTGCATAATGGGTATGTACTATAAACGGTTAAATGTTACTTAAACCGGTAATGCGAGCCAAAAGAACTGTTGGTTTTGAACGTTACCTACGTCATTGAAGTTCAAGTTATCACAACTGTTATCCTGTACATTTATGATTTTTAAGCCATTTTATATTTTACAATTTCTAGGATAAAATAAAATTGTGAAAAAAGAAAATGACAAATAGAGAAACCTATAGCCCAAGCAATAAGATAAATATCGCAGAAAGACAATTCGGCGTATATATAGTATAACATCATATCACTCCCTATTTTTAGCTTTCTTTAAATCTTTAAATTGCCTTATATACAATTCAGACCGGTTCTTTTTACTCCAGGGGATGCTATACTCTTCCAATCCAATTTGCTCCACACCAGCGGTAACAATATGAGTTCCAGAAGAAGACTGGCATACGCTATAGCCTACGCAGCAGCTTACAATGAGTCTGTAGCAGAACACCCATTCGCTTGTTATAATCCCATTCAAAAGGTAAACTAATTCATTATAAATATTGGTTATGTGAAGCCTTGCGTACACAATAAAAACACAACTGTTTATATGTATTTTACGAAATAGATTTAGCTGCATTGCCTTTTCCATGATGGCAAACTATTCTAGTTTATCAATGTACATACAACATAGTGAGATTATTGTATCTTCCTCTTATCACTGATTCTGGCCATATTGTTTTATCATAGGTTCCTGATAGCGCTATAACGGAGTGTGAAAATGAGGAGGACTTGACGGGAAAGGTATTTCTTGACCCAAAGAAAGATGTGGCTATTAAAGCGAAACAGGAGCAATAAACAACACTCAGGAAATCTATTGATATGACAACATAAGATTAGAAATATGAACATGAAAAAGAAATATAATGCATCATGATGTATAGTTATGTGTTGAATGATTTTGAATATTTCGACATGGCGTTCTCATTTTCTGTTGTTTCTTTCTAAAGGTCATTCTGATACTGAGTACCAGGAATGGATCATGAGCAAATTACTTATTTTTCAAAATGATTTTTATTAATTGTATTAACACTGAACCTGTCAGATGGTAACCAGTTCTTAAGAATGAAGATTGTGCTTGTACAGTTGTCTATGAGTAAAATCAATGTGGACGTTTTGTGTGGTTGGAGTGTTTTTTGTGAACCTGCAAAGTAAGACAGCAAACAGTACTTACTGACTACTAGTCCGTGAATTATTATATTGTTAATTTTATCGTACAATGAAATAATTCAAGGCATCTAACTTCAAACCTTTTTCCTATACATAAACTTGCATTATATACTTTACAATAAAGTTGGTAACAAGTAAAAACTAACGAGAGTCTGCTTATATCTGAAAGTTTTAATTTTTTTCTTACTTAAATATATATAATCCTATTTTTACATCTAGTTAGTTTCACATTCAATAAAATTTGTCTGTAATCATAAATCATCAAGGCGTTCTGTATATAACTAAGACTTCAAACTCTGGGAAAGCTGCTTTATACGGATGACCTTTGGTAATGCTGCATGGGTATCAGATAACAGGACTGATAATTGTATAGATAGCTATATACTACGTTACAATGATATGGTAGATAGTGAATAAGGTACATTTACGGTAATGATTACTGAGCAGATGAGAATAGTATCTATAAGTGGAAAAGCATGCTGCAAGAATGGCTAATTGTGGTTAGTTTATACAGTGTTTATATGCTTTTTAGAATTTATGTATGTATTCTCTTTTTTTTTTTTTTTTTAGATTTTCTACAGTTTTGGTATGTGGTAAGGGGAATAACTCTGATTTCTGTCTTTTTCGAAGGCCGGCAAGGAAAATATTAAAACCCAATGAATATATATTTATATTCCATATATTTTGAAAGTTCTCTGAATATAGTATATCGTCTAGAAGTAAGGCATCTGAAGCTGACTGATCAGATGAAGTTTGATTACCACAAACATGGATATCTGATCGTAAGGTTGGTACATTTTTTATTTAGGTTAAACAGGTAAAAGCATGGATTTGCAACTAAAAATGCATGGCATATAAATGTGTGGTTCTTTGTATCAATAACCGGATTCTAAACTTTGATCAGTGGATTGCTCAATGATGCCGAATTAAAAAAACTTCAAATCACACTCGAAGAAAGTGCTATAACAAGACACAGATATCGGGTAAGTTTGAATAAGGACAAGAGTTGTGTATATCCTAGCATGTATAGTTTGATCTTTGCTCAAATGAATATAACTGTATAGATATGTTAATAATAATGGAATCCACGCGATTCCTCATTTCACAATCATCGTTCATAATTACTTATTGATCTTCAGGAATCACACATCTACAAAAGCAATATCACTTGTTTGTTACATGGCACAATGGCTCACTGGAGCATTAGTTCATATCAATTATTGAAGGATTTGCTTTTTCAAAGTCGTCTCTGTTGAAGCGTTTGCTATCAATATAGAATTATGTTAGATCGTAATTCAGATTTATTTTAGTTCTCCGATGGTGAGGGCAAGAAAACTCAAATGGCTCTATGGAGCTATCCAGGTGATGACGTCACAGGTGTTATTACAAGAAGTGAAAAGTTGTTAGGAACAAGTCAGGAAGTAAGCCTAAATCTTACATATATAAGAGTACTAATGCTTTAAATATTTCGTGCGAACAACCGACGAATTCCAAACTTTGTTCCTTTTACTTAAACATTGACCCATGTATTAAAGTAATGTGTACATCGATTTAAACCTTACGTTGTCTTTAAAGATATTTTGATTATGATGTGTCTTGTAGATAAACAATTCTTAAACATCATTTCATTTTTAAAGTTTTAGGTGGTGGTGAATTGTACCATTTCGAATCAAAAGCAATGATGAAAGAGGCAAGAACTGGTGGCAAGCACTTCTGGCACCAAGATTACGGGTATTTATGCGCGGAACGGTAGAAATAAGATGCATGTTTCATAAATATCATTTCTGCCACGATATACTGATTTGACGTTTTGCTTCAAACCAATCTGTGCTGTAACTAAAAAATAAAATTCTATGAATTACACAAATTGTGCACTTTTGAGTTTCATATAAGCCATGAGGAATGAGAGTGAAAACAGTATAGTGACGATATATCATATATTTACAGATACTGGTACGACAACGGATGTTTATTCCAGATTTGATAACGGTCTTGTGGCATATGATAAAGCAATGAAAGAAAATGGTTGCTTGGAGGTACAAATTTACATTTTCCTCTTTGAATTTAAAACTGCAACATCTTTTCAAAGAAGTATTTCAAAGCGCAAATGTGAATTCTCCGCAAATCTGAATTCTCCGCAAATCTTTTCTAAGACGCAAATACAGTGGCGTAAAATAAGTAAATATATATTCATCTATGTTTTAATTCGTTTTTAAGATTATACCAGGCTCACATAAATGTGGCCGAATCGATCATCTTCTGATAGCTGATCTGTAAAGGGTACATGCTGTCCAACAAAAATGCCCACTAGTCTATGTAGAAATGGATCCAGGTGTGTCAGCATTATAAGTTTTACGAACAACACAGACCGGTGATTTTATTTGAATTTCGAAAAAGAAAATATTTGTCCTGCATTGACAAATATAAAGTTTTCATGAAATGCAAATGAGGGGAATTCGGTTAAAGTATAAAACTCATCATTGTTTGGGATATATTTCATGAAAAGTGTAACATCAATTTACGAAAGGCATTATATGAATAATGTTATCGGTGTAAACCAGACCGAGCAATTCAATGTCTGTTCATGAAATCAGATATAAAGTGTTCACATGGGTTTTAACGTAGTTAGTGTGTATGTTAAAAGTTAAACCTGTTATTTTCTTGTTTAGGTGATGCACTTTTCTTTCACGCAAATCTTCTGCATACAAGTGCCGGTAACGACAGCGACAAGAGACGCTGGTCAATCCTCATGTCCTACAACCAGGTTGATAACGAAGCAATGCTTGACCATCCATTTGGAAAACTAAAGAAATTAGTTAAAGTACGAATACAGTTGTATATTCCTGCGATATCCTACTTTACTAGAATACCACTTTCTGACGCATTCCTTTAAAAGTGCTACATATGTTGAATGATTTGTCACTAAATCAGATTCCGATTCACTGTACCCTAACAATCACAGATGAAAAAAGAATTTTAATAGTGCTGTTTAAAGACGAATAACATTGCTAAATAACAATACTTCCGAAAGATGTTTTTGAAACAAGTAAGAGAGATCTGCCTCAATCCTATCTTTGATAGTTTTTGCTGTCCGAAGACAATTTACCGAATGTATTAAATCATATTGTTACTACAACTGGCTTGCAGTTTTCCGATACTTTCTGACACTGAATTAGCTTTTCCTGGCTCCTTTCTGGACGTCAGTGTGTTTTAAATTTCTTATTGAAATTCCGTTTTCAAGTTCTTGGTACTTGTTTTTTTTTTTTTTACAAAAAACACTCTTAACCAACTTACTTTCGACAAGTAAAGATATTTTGTGTTTTTAAAAATAAAAATAAAAAAGAAACAAAACTAAAATTATAAAAAGGTTAAGATCGATCATATCAGTCTTGACTTACAAATGTTCAGATAAATAAAAAAAAGCTAGCACAAAAATAACTCGCCACAATAAATCATTGACAATGATGAGAAGTGATCATATACCTAATTATCTTGACTTTTCACTACTAATGATGAGAAGTGATCATATACCTAATTATCTTGACTTCTCACTACTAATGATGAGAAATGATCATGCAACTAATTATCTTGACTTCTCACTACTAATGATGAGAAGTGATCATGCAACTAATTATCTTGACTTCTCACTACTAATGATGATAAGTGATCATGCAACTAATTATCTTGACTTCTCACTACTAATGATGAGAAGTGATCATATACCTAATTGCCTTGACTTCTCACAACTAATGATGAGAAGTGATCATATACCTAATTATCTTGACTTCTCACTACTAATGATGAGAAATGATCATGCAACTAATTATCTTGACTTCTCACTACTAATGATGAGAAGTGATCATATACCTAATTGCCTTGACTTCTCACTACTAATGATGAGAAGTGATCATGCAACTAATTATCTTGACTTCTCACTACTAATGATGAGGAAAGATGATGCAACTAATTATCTTGACTTCTCACTACTAATGATGAAAAGTTATCATGCAACTAATTATCTTGACTTCTCACCACTAATGATGAGAAAAGATGATGCAACTAATTATCTTGACTTCTCACTACTAATGATGAGAAGTAATTATATACCTAATTATCTTGACTTCTCACTACTAATGATGAGAAGTGATCATATACCTAATCGCCTTGACTTCTCACTACTAATGATGAGAATTAATCATGCAACTAATTATCTTGACTTCTCACTACTAATGATGAGAAGTGATCATATACCTAATTGCCTTGACTCCTCGCTACTAATGATGAGAAGTGATCATATATCTAATTGCCTTGACTTCTCACTACTAATGATGAGAAGTGATCATATACCTAATTGCCTTGACTTCTCACAATTAATGATGACAAAAGATGTTGCAACTAATTATCATGACTTCTCACCTCTAATGATGAGAAGTGATCATATACCTAATTGTCTTGACTTCTAACTTCTAATGATGAGAAGTAATTATATACCTAATTATCTTGACTTCTCACTACTAATGATGATAAGTGATCATGCAACTAATTATCTTGACTTATCACTACTAATGATTAGTAGTGATCATATACCTAATTGCCTTGACTTCTCACTACTAATGATGATAAGTGATCATGCAACTAATTATCTTGACTTCTCACTACTAATGATTAGAAGTGATCATATACCTAATTGCCTTGACTTCTCACTACTAATGATGATAAGTGATCATGCAACTAATTATCTTGACTTCTCACAATTAATGATGACAAAAGATGTTGCAACTAATTATCTTGACTTATCACTACTAATGATGATAAGTGATCATGCAACTAATTATCTTGACTTCTCACTACTAATGATGAGAAATGATCATATACCTAATTGCCTTGACTCTTCACTACTAATGATGAGAAGTGATCATGCAACTAATTATCTTGACTTATCATTACTAATGATTAGAAGTGATCATATACCTAATTATCTTGACTTCTCACTACTAATGATGAGAAATGATCATATACCTAATTGCCTTGACTCTTCACTACTAATGATGAGAAGTGATCATGCAACTAATTATCTTGACTTCTCACTACTAATGATTAGAAGTGATCATATACCTAATTGCCTTGACTTCTCACTACTAATAATGATAAGTGATCATGCAACTAATTATCTTGACTTCTCACAATTAATGATGACAAAAGATGTTGCAACTAATTATCTTGACTTCTCACTACTAATGATGATAAGTGATCATATACCTAATTATCTTGTCTTCTCACTACTAATGATGATAAGTGATCATGCAACTAATTATCTTGACTTCTAACTACTAATGATGAGAAGTGATCATATACCTAATTATCTTGTCTTCTCACTAGTAATGATAAGAATTGATCATGTATCGAATCGATTTTACCTCTCACTGCTAATGATGTACTAGTGCCTGGTATCGGATTTTATATCACGTTCTCATCATTGCCATTAATGTCAATTTAAGGAGGATATCCTGACGACTGGTTATGCTCAAAACACTATATAGGAGATTGAACAAAAGAAATGAAAAACACCTTTCAATACAAATTGAGAACTAGATACAGCAAAGACAAGAAATTAATTTCCTGGTTTCACTTTTATCTTGAATATTTTAAGGATATTAATTTTAGATGTACTAAGGTTTCTGAAGAAGATATACTTAAGTGTTGAAACTATACTGATATGGATGGAGAGGACTTCTTGGATCCTCGCAACGATGCCAACATAGCTCTCGATGACGACTATCAGTGACCATGTATATGATCTACGGGAAAGTAAATGAACTTCGTGAAACGTCTTAAACGGACTATCTTCGAAACTTGTTAAATATCACTATGTATAACATACGTTTTTGCATAAACACGTATCTGATTATAAATGTAAAAAAAAAATAATAAAATTACAGACAGTTTTCAACATTAATTACACGTAATGATATGTCTTGCCTGCTGTCTCCACATATCATCAGGATTAATCAAATTGTAAGTACGTCTTGTTCTGATACATACAAACCAATTTCTGAATAGCTATACGCCACTAAACCTCGAAATTCCTTCTTTTCTGTCGGAAAAAAAGATACAGAAGAACTTAAAATAGTCGAGCGCTTTATCACAACACATGTAGTTGAAAAAAAATCATGCACAATGTGGGGCCAAATAGAAACGTGACACAATTAATTAACAACGTCCAATTAACAACGAACTGCAGGTTAAAATCATAATCTGAAATGAGTGTTGAGATTCTGGGATGGCTATACATAAATATAAATATATTCCATGTTAAGTTTTGTCAAATCAAAATACTTTGAAAAAAGGTAGACGGAGATAAACGGAAACTGTTAACATTTACCAATTAATCAACAAAATCCAATTCATGGTAAACTATGGATGAAAATCATAATCTGAAATGTAGATTGGGAAGAAACATACACAGGTATAGGTTTGGATATGATGGATTCAACGTCGATCTACAAATAAAAATTCAGAACCTGAAATGAGCGTTTGGATGGGTATATATAGATTTACATTACAGGTGTCGTCAACGAAGCAGAAGAGCCTGGTCTTATTATCCTATTGCGGTACGAGGTGAATAGATATGCAGTCAATACGATTTTGGTTTTGTGATCCTTTATTAATTTTTTTTCAAAAACTGCACATGTAAAATATTTAAGCATACTTGAATAATTCTTAATCAGATTCTTGGTCATCGACATGTCTAGGAAGGAGAAGGATACGAGATTCAAATCTCAATAGATAATATTAACGGTAGATAAGGAATCGCCTAAGACTGTCTATCATGTAAGCTATATAAATATAAACAACAAGAACGTGTGTCCCACAAAATGAACGAATGTTGACATTTTGTCCTACCTAGCTATTGTAACCTTATCTTTATCTTGATAATATAGATAGAGATTAAAGGCACACGTGCTTGTCATCAATTTCATACTTTTAATGTGACTAGTAATATCAATATTAAAGGTTGATTATTCCAAAGACTTATGTAAACCTTGACTTTGTTATGACAATGATACAGGCCATGACAGGTTATGACAATTAAGTTTGAATCATTGACATTACTGACCATCATGTCGTGGAATGTAGCCCTTTAATCCTGATAGCAAGGAAATGCTTTTGTATTCCACTATGTCGCCCTGGACACCTGCCGCTGTTCTCTTTTCATGTAAGTTTTTCAACTGCAGCCATAACTCCGATATCTAAGCTAACAGTAACATAATATAAATAAGTATTCGTAGTATTTGTCAATAGACAAATCGAGAAAGTAAAATTTAATGTTATTACCAGTAGGGACTACATAAACGAAATATGCTAGCTTCGCTTGAATTGTGATTTCAGTGGGTAATGCATGCCAACAAAACCCCAAATATGCCCCGATATACTGGTATATGTGATGAAAGAAAGAGTATAACACATTTCGAGATTTATTTTGAGGATTTGTATCTTTCTTATATCCTTCATTTTTATGCAGGTCTTGTCCTTGGTTTTGTGTCAGGTAAGCATGCATCTTTTATTGATATGACGATAATATGCGACCAACATCTCATGGTTTTATAACTTACAAAACGTCTGTATATGACTGATGGACCATATATTGTAGTAAAGTGTGGTGCTAATCGATGTACCACATACAAGTGATATTTGAATGTAATTTCTATTCTCCTAGTAGATAATGCTTGAATGTGAAACTTTGTGTTTTTACATAATTGGTAAAATATAGAACATGCAGTATTATTTTTCGTACATTTATATGTCTTCTTAATAGTGGGTGTCGTCGATAAAGAAACAACTAACACTTCCGGAACACCTGGTCTTATTACCTTTGTACGTTTCGGAAGTTTTGATTTAAATATTTCCTTTGTTCCTAATTTGCATGAACTTCATTGAATTTATGTTCGACGTAAGATTTCCTTAACAAGTCTGTATCATGCTGGTCTTATCTGTAAAGTAAAATAATAGTCGTTTTTTGACTGATGGTAATAGATTGTTTTTTCACTTTTCTGAATACGAAGTGATATTTCGATGATAGTATTGTCACAGTCATGTTAATGAATGATACCTAAGCGATTTTAGTGAACGTTTTGTTATTGTCAGAGTAATTTAAACTGTATATAAAATTAAAGTTGTAGAATAAATGAAACCATCATTTCCTGATCAGGTGTGGATGTTGATAGAATGATTAATGTTGATTAAATAAGTTGTTTTTGTGCGATATCATTTGGATATCACATTTTTATACAGTACTGATATGATATTAATTACCTCGGTGCTGAAATTAGTAGTTCACTTAATGTTTGTCTACACTGTATTTAGTTCTAAATATATTTTGTGTGTCTCCGATATTCCAGGGGTAACGATCATTTTTCGCTCTCTGCACGCCTAGCACATCATAGCAAAAGTTAAGACTTCATGTGCGGCACCTTTTTGGACAAAACGAAAAGACTAATTTCATCCTATGATTTACAATAAACGAATTTCGATGACGCACAACGGTATATTTTAATGACTTTGCTGTTGAACGTCGCTTCTCTGTAATCTTCAACAGGAGCAAATCAGCCAGTAATTGGTCAGTTTTCTCTCCTGAACCCAATTAAATACTTCGCTTGTGACTGCCATTTTGATGACACAGAGATGCACAGGTCGAAAGTTATCCTAACCACAGGGGTTTCGAGGATGAACATTTTATTGAATAGTGTTATTCATTTGTATTTCTTGTGAACAATCTTAAACATTATTGAATGTATTTTCAGCTGAACGTCTGTCGTGCTTTGACTGTTGGTTAAAGACAGATGAGTTAAGCTGTAACAAGACTTATCTCTGTGAAGAGGACGAGGTAAGCATCCCTTCAAAATACATCATATACGATATGTCATTGTCAACGTTATCGTTAAGAGCTGTGCAATAATACTTCTGGATGGTTTTTTTATCATTAAAAGCAAAAACAAAGCATCGTTGTGTAACATTTAAAAAGATACATAAAAGGTAATGCTGTCGAACGTTGAAATGATTACAATGTCTTATTTGAACAGGTATGCTACATAACTCGGCTCATTGGAGATTTCTACGGAAACCCGTGCTTGTATAATCTCGGATGTAAGAAAGAAGAGGTTAGCAGAAGCACGTTGTGCAAATATCACTTCCACTGTCAAAATGTGGAAAATTCTCAGATTAACTTACAACACAGGGTTTGTAAAGATGCGAGTGGATGAAGGTTATTGGAACGTTAAATGTACGCCATAACGAACCCATTGAGAAATATTCTGTCCCTAAGTGGAATATTGAGTTGGACTTTAGATGTTCGTGAATATGCCGCAGTTGATTCCGTTGTTGCTAAGATAGTAGGAAACATTTAATTTGCATTTTTCCTAAAATTAAAGGTGAAATTTGAGATATACAGGTTTAAAATTATCAACAATGTCTTGGTAAAAAAATTCCAACATGACCAGAAACTAAGAAACTTCGGGCATTTCACTTTCAGTAAAACTAGCTTTTGGCGCGTAGAAACCGATTCATGACCGCCCAAATAATAATCTCCAACACAATGCAAAAAATATTATTCGGAAAATATTAAACCCAACAATGTCAACTTCAACATGAAAACATTTTTGCATGAATAGATGTATTTTTAATTTTTGATTAAACCCTTATGACCATACCGAGAAACTGTGTACTGCTACCTAACCTTATTCTGTTTTGATAAAGCGAAATAACGTATTTGGGTTGGCTAAGATTATGCGGATGTCGTCGATGATGCAGTGGACGCTTGCCTTTTCTGAACTTCAGGGCCCGTCTGTTCCTTTTTCTCATGTTTGCTTGAGTTTTAATTTAGCATTTGTTGAGATTTCGGTATTTTCCTTTGTTTCATTTTGTTTGAATGATAATTATATTCGCTCGAATAGAAAATGTGCTTTATCTAATCTATATTGATTTTTAAAAGATTCAGAATAGATTAATGTAAATGGTTACGCCTGTGTAATGTTTTTTATGCAGTAATTATAAATATTTATTGGGATATGGTTAGCTGAATATATTGTAGTTATATTGAAAGAAAAGGACTAAATCTTGCAACAAAACACAACTGTCGACTGAATCTATATTTCATTCCCATTATTACTTTTAATCTTTTTCATAGTAGCATGTAATGTGATAATTCACTAAGTGTAGAACATTCCTGAGATATCGTCGGTAAAAAGTGATATTAGACAACAATTGAACAATTGATCTTCGTAACGTTGCGTTTACGACAGTTTGATTGGATTGTTCCAGGAATGCAGTTCCCTTCAAGATCAGCTACAGGCCGGTGATCCAACACCGACCCGGATACGTGACGGTGACGCCATCGACTATATGGACTGCTGTACAACTTCCGGTTGTAACTTGCACCGCATCACGCCCCCAAGTGACACTTGTGTTGTTCAGAATTAAAATTGCAATATCTTCGGTCACCACTGTTTTATCTTCTTATATTATCAATGTTATCAGAAGATTAATCACCCTTGGTCGCCAATTTGAACAAAACTGGGGACTTTACATCAAGTACATCTTGACGACTGACTCTTTTTACACGTGGTTCTTACCTTGCTCTTTGATACATAGAAACTAATGCTGATAATTTCTATCAAGCTGTGTGATAGGCGTGATGATTTGATTTCTCCTATTACGAATTTTCCATTTTTGGATGGCAACATCTCCACATCCCAGACCTGTATTGATTACATGTCACAGTTTATTAGATTTTTAAGGCACAGTTCTCATTATCATGATTTTCGAGTAAGAAGTAGTCAACGAAGGGACAAACACGCAACGCAGGATTTCAAAAGATTCAAGTTGATCACAATTACGGGGATGTTTTACGGTTGTCAATGTGATCTCATAGAAATATTCCATTTCTTTGTGTGATGTGAAGCTGGACGTGTTCGATGCTCGTTAGTTTTCCTGATTGTCCCGTTGTTGCACGCTTTTGTCGCGTTTGAGAACGTGGCATTACTAACACTAACTTGGATTGATTTTATGTGGCGGTTATCGTCAATACCTGAACCTATTCTCCTCGAACTTGTCAAAGGAGTCTCCGTAGAAAATTTTCTTTGTTCACATTTCCCCTTGGTTTTATTAAAATTTGTCAAATTATAATATTTGAATCCCAGCATAAAAAGGTAATTCTTATTCTTACTATACTTCATTGCAGAGCTTGCTACGGAATTCTTCGGGTGTTATTATCATTAGCTACTGTAAAATCATTAACTGCCACGGTCATTTCCTTTTCCTTGCTTTCGTGAATTATCTTACTTTATGAATTTACATAGCCATGAACTGCTAATATAAATACAAGTACCTAGCCGCGTAAGAAATCAAATGTCACTGAAATGACATTTAAACACCTCTAATATAGAGCCCCACGAAAATATATAATTTTACAGTATATCTTGAAATTGAAAAATTGATGCAACAACGCCACATGATAATGAAACGTCTGTTACCTATACTTAATTCACAAATTGTTATGTGAATGATGCAGCGAATAGATAGTTAATTACCTCTCCGAACAAGTCCACATTTGATTATTAGCAACAGCCTCCAATATTTACATATCAATAGGCTGACAAACAGTGTTCCTCAATATCTGTGATTTCACCAATATAGATAGTTCTTAAAGATTCAGACCTCTAATGTTTAATACATGATAATAGCTCTGAACGCCTGAATCACATTGTGTATTGGTGTATGTGGTTTTGTCACATTCAATGCCATTATAAGTTACGCCGACATAAAATCGAAGAAATTATCAATAGGCGCCATGTCATCATTCACATTAATATACAATGCTAATAATTAGGTATTTCCAGACGTTTTTAATAACTTTACAACAATACATCAAAAAGAGTGCAAACTGATAAAACATAACTAATAGATGATATACATCTGATCGTTACTGAAAACACCGAAGTGTAACTGACATGTATACATTTTAAGTGCGCAGCCGACAATGCTTCCTACCGGAAAGAATCTGTCACCATGAAACACCTGACACTGTTCTGGTCTCATAGCATCTTCACAGTGGGCCATGTTTAAGGTTCTGCACAAAAATAGTGTGTGATTTGAATAAAGTGTGAAGGAGGGGAAGCTATGTGACCGTTACTGTTCACAGCGATCTTCCAAAAGGAAATCAAGCTACATGACAATTTTAGAAAAATATCATTTTTATTAAATAAAAAAACGTTTGTTTCTTGATTAATCACACAGGATCAAAGTTATTGTCATGCTCACAAACTGAGAACAAAGTGTTAGTTAAGGTATAAACATTAATATTTTTATTATATTTTGACGGGTCACAGACTCTTTTTATCTCTTATTCTATATATAACGTTTAGCATAAACCTAAACTCTTGATTAAATATTGAAATAAAGTACTCAACAAATGTGTGATATGGCATTCATGAAACAATGCTACAAACACATTGTTTGAAATACTCTCTCCATTTTCTTATCGACAGGGCTATTCTGGCACATAAAATACAATAACCTTCGAAATGGGTGATTACAACCCTTATACAACTGACATAGATCAAGACTTAAATAAATCAAGTTTAGATGTGATCATGCACAATACGAAGTGTCACCACGAATAGTCACTGCCTAACTGTACGTCTACTGTCCATCAAATACTTATCATCATAAACTACTTTATAATTTCAAGATTAAGGACGAAGGATCATTAAAGCTAATTTTAAAAAAAAACGTTTGCCGGGAACATGTTTCAGTTGTCTATAAACACTACAATAGATGGATCTAATTTGGTATGTTTCAAAAAAAGTTAATAAACAACTGATGGAATAATTCAATATCATGCTATTATTAATGTCGATATTGCTCATGCTAATTTTCTCATTAATGAAAATTGTTATCATTGGTTCACGTACGTGGAACCCTAACAATATCCTTATGATTGGTTATCATCTAGAAGTAAACATGACTGTCAATCCGGTACGAAATATCATCTCTTCTAGCAAACAGCCCTTGTTAGTCATGGTTAAGTGAGGAACTGGTTCACATCAAACGCGGCCACAGACCTGTCTGTGTCATACCAATCATGCATACCTGAGCATGCCACAAGCCGCGTAGTTAGTTAGTCATCCCATCCAATCTGAGTGACACTGTCACTAAAACATCATTAAAAAGATATGTCCATTGTACATGTGAATTCGTCAATGTGTAATCGTTACTTCGTTTTCTGACCCCTACCATGCGTGTATTACATACTACCAAATAACAACAACCACATGACAATATTCCAAAACATACGTATTGTACCGTGCATGGTTCCGTAAAAAGTAACATTATTGTTATCTTATCGGGTAGATATAACTTTTTATTACATTTTTAGCAGTGAAATAAAGGGATATCTCAAACTGATAAACCAAAGGATTGACCAATTTAATGTTTGATGTAAAGTACCAAATGATTTGTTTTAATTTTACTCAATTTAATCATCGTAAAACACTCGAAATAAAAACATGACAATCTCATAAATATTACTTACTATTTGTATAACTGATACTGATATATGTTACTTTGCTTCTGGTAATGTTGACGGCACTAAAAGGCTTACTTACAATGGGAAGGGGAGGTTTGCGATGATGGAATTTTACATCCGTACTTACTTGCCTTAGCAACCAAACAAACCCTTTAAAATGTTTACTTGCTATGGATGAATGCTGTGTTGTAAACTAAAGGATCATCAATTTGCAAACATGTCATACACTGAGACCGACTACTGGCTCTTTAAATAGTACAGGGACAATTTAAATGATATTCTTATTTGTTGGCTTATCAAAATGTAAGGACATGCAGTATGAACAACAAACATGTATTACAGTTGTTTCACGATGGATAGATTAGAATTGGGCAATAGATACATTAATAAACAGTTTTCAGTATCCTTTTTAAAATTTTCTGAATTATCGACGTTTTCTGATCTGCTACATTGATCAGAACCAACCACCACAAACAATTATTAATTCAATCCTACCGCCATAAAATCGAAGTAATCATCAATAGGCGCCATGGCATCATTCACATTGATATACGATGCTAATAATTAGGTATTTCCAGGCGTGTTTAATAACTTTACAACAATACATCAAAAAGAGTGCAAACTGATAAAACATAACTAATAGATGATATACATCTGAACGTTACTGAAAACACCGAAGTGTAACTGACATGTATACATTTTAAGTGCGCAGCCGACAATGCTTCCTACCGGAAAGAATCTGTCACCATGAAACACCTGACACTGTTCTGGTCTCATAGCATCTTCACAGTGGGCCATGTTTAAGGTTCTGCACAAAAATAGTGTGTGATTTGAATAAGGTGTGAAGGAGGGGAAGCTATGTGACCGTTACTGTTCACAGCGACTCCAAAAGGAAATCAAGCTACATGACAATTTTAGAAAAATATCATCGACTTTTATTAAATAAAAAAACGTTTGTTTCTTGTTGACCTGGCACACAGGATCAAAGTTATTGTCATGCTCACAAACTGAGAACCGATCTAGTGTTAGTTAAGGTATAAACATTAATATTTTTATTATATTTTGACGGGTCACAGTAGATGCATGATTGAGTATCTCTTATTCTATATATAACGTTTAGCATAAACCTAAACTCTTGATTAAATATTGAAATAAAGTACTCAACAAATAGAAAAACTTCCCATGGCATTCATGAAACAATGCTACAAACACATTGTTTGAAATACTCTCTTTATCGTCGCTCTTATCGACAGGGCTATTCTGGCACATAAAATACAATAACCTTCGAAATGGGTCCGTTTACAACCCTTATACAACTGACATAGATCAAGACTTAAATAAATCAAGGCTTAGATGTGACTGATGCACAATACGAAGTGTCACCACGAATAGTCACTGCCTAACTGTACGTCTACTGTCCATCAAATACTTATCATCATAAACTACTTTATAATTTCAAGATTAAGGACGAAGGATCATTAAAGCTAATTTTAAAAAAAAAACGTTTGCCGGGAACATGTTTCAGTTGTCTATAAACACTACAATAGATGGATCTAATTTGGTATGTTTCAAAAAAAGTTAATAAACAACTGATGGAATAATTCAATATCATGCTATTATTAATGTCGATATTGCTCATGCTAATTTTCTCATTTAATGAAAATTGTTATCATTGGTTCACGTACGAGGAACCCTAACAATATCCTTATGATTGGTTATCATCTAGAAGTAAACATGACTGTCAATCCGGTACGAAATATCATCTCTTCTAGCAAACAGCCCTTGTTAGTCATGGTTAAGTGAGGAACTGGTTCACATCAAACGCGGCCACAGACCTGTCTGTGTCATACCAATCATGCATACCTGAGCATGCCACAAGCCGCGTAGTTAGTTA